TGGCTGTCCTGGAACTCGATCTGTAGACCAGATTGGCCTTGAACTCACAGAGATCTGCCTGTCTCTGCCTCTTGAGTGATGGAATTAAAAGAGTCACCACCACACAGCAACACTGTCGCTTTTTCAAAAAGGTCTCACATAGCCTAGGATGGTCTTGATCTTGTCAAGTAGGTGTGGATGAATCAACCTCCTGAACCTCCTGAACCTCCTGCTTCTCTTTCTGAAGTTCAAGGTTTGCATGCATGTGATGCCATGCCCAGCTACTAGAAATGGCTTTAATACAGTGCTCCCACCTTTACAAAGATTATCCAAATAGAAAACCAGCAAAGAAACTCCAGAGATGGTAGTGGTAAGATCCCGAGTTCAAGGCCAGCCTCAGCTTTATGGACACCCAGATAAAAGAAAACAAATTCAAACTAAGAGGATATAGACAACTTAATTAGGTTCATAACTATCAATGGGCTTAAGCTTAATTAAAAACAAGTGTCCCAACAGCATACACTATTGTGCCATGTACAATCCCAGCACTCAGGAGGCACAGGAAGTTGGATTTCTGTGTGATTTCAAGGCTAGCCTGAGTCTATATGACTCCAGGAATCTGAGGCTACATACTGAGATCATAACTTTTAAATAAAAGTCTCCTGTTGAAGAGAAGCCCAGGACCAGGTAAGAGTGGCTGCTGCATTACCAGAGGGATTATGAGAAGGGAGGAAAAGGAAATATATGTGACTGGAAAGCAGAAGGGGTGGGAGAGAGAAGTGGTTCAGGACAGAGGGTGGTGTGGGGAGCATGACGTGTCGACAGGTCAGGGGAAGCAAGGCATGGACACATGTGAAAATGGCATAATGAAACCCATCTCGCTACGCTAACTTAGATCAAAACTGGGCTGGGTGGCCATTGTGTTGGTCTTGTTTAGGTGAAGATGTTGAGACTTTGTCAGCCCTGTAGAAGACACTACCTTGCAGCGTATGCCCTGGCTCCCAGTCTTTCCCTCCCCTCTTCTGGGATGGACCCTAAGTCTTAGGGGTTGTGTTGTAGATGTATCCGCTGGGGCTGGGCACCGCATGATAACTTATTCTCTGCATTTTGACCAGTTATAAGTTTCTGTGGTAGCGTCCATCTGCTGAATACAAAAGTCTGATAGATAACATCCTGTGCTATTTCTGTTGTTCGGACTTTCAGAGCCCAGCTTGCTCTGCTTCAGGGCTGCTCCTGAGAGGCCGCTGCAGTCAAGCTTTTCTTCAGGGTTGCAGGCACCTGAAAGCATGACTTGAGGGTTTGCTTTCAACCTGGTTTGTGTGTGTAGTGGAGAGTTACCAGGTCTGCACTAAAGGGGGCTCAATCGGGACAGCTTGCACAAGTGGAGGGGAGGGTAAGAGGGAGAGTGGGGGAGGGAGGAGGGTTAAGAGGGAGAGTGGGGGAGGGAGGAGGGTTAAGAGGGAGAATAGGGGAGGGAGAACAAGTCAAGGGTGCAGAATGCAAATCCACTGATCACCTGACCTCGGAAGAGACATTCCTTTTGAACTATTCTTTTAGGCACTTAGACTAACCTTCACATAAGGTGAACGCCATTATAAGAATGTATGAAAATATGGCCTAGAATCCCTGTGGGTTATCTTAAAGGCTATTTAGCATATTAGCTAACCCAATGTTGGGAAAACTCTCCCATACTGGCCTATAATGTATCAACCTCTCATTTAAAAAAAAAAAACTGTTTAAGGAATTCTGGAGCTGGGGGTGTAGTTGGCGGTAGAGTGCATTGCTGAGGACTTGCAAGGCCCTGTGTTGAAATATTGTAGAAAAAGGTCGTCAGACTGTGGAGGTGGAGTAAACCTTTAATCTGAGCACTTGAAAGGTAGAAGGTAGAGGCAGAGGCAGGTCTCTCTGAGTTCGAGGCTAGCCTAATCTACATAGTGAGCTCCAGGTTAACAGTAAATATTAAGACTTCCCCTCCAAAATAAATAAATATCCTTAATTCTACCTATCATAATTAACTCTAAAGTTTGTAAAAAAAACCAACAAATTGAGGTATTGACTATACATGGGGAAAGAAGTTGGGGGGCACAGTCACAGAAGATTAAGTTTCAGTAATTTCATTAGGTTCTCAGAAGCCTTGATCTTTTCAGGTTTTATCTGAAAAAAAAATTGTAAGGCATCTTTACTTTTACTGGTCAGAAGTGGCTCTCTTAGAAATGAACATTTTCAATCAGTACTGGTTTGGTTTCTTGAAGAGTTTTAGAGATTAATGCTAGCTGAAGGCTCTTCGGAAGTGAGTTTCTGCATGTTTTGGCCTATTTTGAAGACACAGGATCCTCTGACGCTGACTCAGCACTGAACTATATTTGGGGAGTTGACGTAGAGAGGGGTCTGTCTTGGATTAGGGCTCAGAATACCTAGGGGATTTCCTGGTGAGGACCAGGGGTCAGACATCATGACAGGTGTTATCTCCTCTAACTTTGGAACTGGAAGCAGCTCGGGGCCATGGCACACTCATCTGACAGGAATGCTAAGAAACTGTCAGGCGACATCCAATGTGAAAACCCAGACATTTGCTGTTCTTCTACCACTTCTCATATATCAGTGTGACAAAAAGGGATTAATGCATTCTGATAAGGGCTTCTGTTTTTAAGCATTTAATAATGAATTTAAATAAACAGAAAACAGACCTAACTGCCAGGCTTTATAGTAGAATAATTAAAATTATTATGTCCATTAATATCTTAATTATTCTATTACTAATGAGTTAAATTACTGTGATGGAAATAAAGATATTTTAGAATGAAAGACATTTTAGTTCCCCTTAAGTATGTCAAAGTAACCCTTGGGCTTTAGAAGGTGGTATTATTTCATTAAAAAATGGAAGCACATTTAAGTAATGAAAATATGAATATGCCTTAAGGTGGAAAATATATGGAAACACTGACACCCCCCCCCCCCCGCCTCGGGGATATAAATTGAGCAAAACTTTTTATTTTAATGATTAAAAAATGCAATGCAATTTTGCACATTTCAATCACTAAGACTGATAAATTTTGAAAAAATATCAAACTATGAGTTTAATATATATATATGTGTGTGTGTGTATATATATATTTCCTACAATACGTATGGAATAAAAAGTTAGTCCCAGAACTTATTGAAGGACTATCAAAATGAAAGTCAAAAGGCATGTCCTTCCTGTTAATGAATTGATGCTATAGCATCTCATTTTAGAAACTGTATTTAAGCATTATAGTTTAGATGTGGGTCTTTAATGTAAGCTACATTTTCCCATCTAAAGTGGAAGCTGTTGGTAGAATGCTTGTTCAGCATGCATCAAGCTCTGAGCTTTATTCCCAGTACCATAAAAACCAGGATGTGGCCGCATAGCATACCAGTAATGCTAGTATTTGGGGACGGTGGGTGGAAGCGAAGACGATCAGGAATTCCTGACCATCTTTGTATGGCTAGTTCAAAGCCAGCCTGGGCTATACGGAGTGTGCCTCAAAAATAATGTCAAACAAACAAAGCAAAACCCTTAAACGTTCTCAGTGCTTTCCCTCTACAAGTGAACATTTTAAATTGGGACAAGGATTTTTTTTTTTCATTTTAGGTCACAATATATTTTCTAAAAATAGCCCAATTATAGGAACACTTAAATATTAATAACTTACATTTTCAGTAACTTGTTGGATTCTTACCATCTGTCCTGTCTTGGCCCCATTCCCAAGACTGACTACACCTTTAAATCCAACGTAATTTACCACTTTTCTTCCTCCAGCGTGATCTCAAGACCGAAGTTTTAAAATTTTAATAGATGCCACATGCTAGTAAAATAAAATATTGGTGTCCCCAAAGGACGTTAAGTACCAGATTCTAAAACCCAACTGGACTGCTCGTTTCCCGTCACGCAACTTTGGAGGGTAGCAATTTGAGTTTGAAGCCTCCTGCTCAGCTCGGATTCCACGCAGCGAGTCACCGAACTTATAGAAGCTAAATTTCTACCAACAGTGACAGCCCTTTGTGTGGCGGTGCGCAGCTGCGGTGACCGGAAAACAGACGTGCCTTAGGCAAAGGCAAATCTGGTCACAGAGCGTGAGCTGTCCCAATTTCTAAAGGGACTCTGCGGTCGGCGCTCGACCGAGGGTCAGCACGTCGGCCTCAGGCTGGGGTCCAAGAGCCTCCGCCCCTTAGCCGGCTCTTCCGCCCAAGGCGTTAAGCCACCTCTAAAGGAAACGCGGGGAGGGAAGGCTGGGTTGGCGGGCAGACAGGTGCGCCACTGTTTGGAATACACAAAGGGCCGGTGGCACCGCCACTGTGTCCCTGGCAACTCCACGCACGCGCCCCTTTCCGCCCGCCCGGCCGCGCTCAGGGCGGGAGACCGGCAGGGAGGGCGGGGCGGCGAGCGCAGGTCGCCCTCGTCGGCCACAGACACCCTCGGGCCTGCTCGTGGACGCGGCCTGGGAAGCGCGAAGTCGGTTCTAGGGATGGCGCCACCGCGGTTGTCGGGATTTGTAGTCCTGGAGCCTGTGGGGCCCCTCCCCTCCGGGAAGGCCGGTCCAGGCGTCCCCGCCCTCTGCACGCCGACTTCCTGCCGCTGCTCAAACTACCACTCCCGTCATCCTCCGCGCTGCGGGCTGAAAGCGAAAACAAATTCTAGGCTGCGAGGTTGCTGCCCTCCGCCAGGCGCCCCTTCCCGCTCCCCGCCCCTCAGGCGCCCTCCCGCGAGGTGGGGAAGCGAGAGGCTGCGGCTTTCTCTCCGGCTTTCCTCGGCTCTCGGCGTGGGACGCGCGCCGGCGGGAGACGCAGGCCTTGCTGAACCTCTGCCGGCCCGGTGGCGCTTGCCGGCGGGGCTCTGCCTCGCCACACACCGGTCGGGACCCGGAAACTTGTGGGGGCGGCGACCCCCGGGCAGCCCGCGGGCGCGTGTCCCTCCGCCGAGGCGGCCGCGTGCGGATGGCCATGTACTAGGCTGGGCTCCCTATGCGCCCGGAGAGCGCGGGCCGCCGCCTCGGGCCGCCGCTTCCTGCCGCCGCTCGCTTCGTCCACGCCGGCGCCAGAGCCCGAGCCTCAGCCCGCTCCAGGCCGGGGCGTCGAGCCGCCAGCGGCGCGGCCATGTGGGGCTAGTCCGCGCCGCTCACCCTGCAGCGGACCGGCAACATGGAGGCAGCCGTCGGCGCGCCCGACGGCGCGGAGCAGGGCGGCGTGGGGCCGCTCGAGGATGCGACGCCCATGGACGCCTATTTGCGCAAACTGGGCTTGTATCGGAAATTGGTCGCCAAGGACGGGTCGTGCTTGTTCCGGGCTGTGGCCGAGCAGGTAAAGGGACGGGGCCCGAGCGGACGGGCTCGGTGCTGGGTGCGACAAGCCACCCGCAGCTGCCTGGCCGCCCACGGCGGGGCCGCGCGTGGCTCGCTGTCGTCACAGCGGCCCATTGTAACGTCGGCACGGGACGGGGTTGAGGACATCTCGGGCGGCCTGCTCGCAGCGTGCGGCCGGGCGCCGGCGACGCGCTCCTTCCGAGTTCACCTGCGCCCAGCTTTTAGCAGCCCCTCGCTCGCAGCGGCTAAGCGCATGTTTACTAGAGGAGCTGCTGCGCCCCGTGTTACCGGTGGACCACATTTTTTCTGCTATTGGACTTTGGAATGTGTCTCCCCGGTGTCACGCAAAGCAGGAGGCCAACTTTGAAGTTTAAGGAAGGCAACCTCTGAATAGGGTCGTCTCAGGGACTGTTTGAGTAGGGCCCACGCTGCGTTATGTGGGAATCAGGGACAGTGTAGTAAAGAGTTCACTCTTGTGCAAGTCTTCTACTAATACTGCGGTATTAACTGGAGACTCTGTCTAGGCTCATCACTCTTCCCCTCTCCCCTTCGTTAATGGTTAAAATTATTCCCCAAAAGGCCCATTTATTAAAGAGAAGTCAGATAGAACTTCTGCGAGTGGGAGGAGTTCCAGGGAAGAATACTCAGGATTTTTTCTGTTGCTTTGAGAGAGTTCTTTTCTCCACGTTATATAACCATATTGTAGGTGTGGGGTCACCAGAACCCATCCTGTCTGTGAGACTAGCTGCTGGATCAGAAGCGTTTCCCAGCGCACGCTGCTGTGTCCTACATTCCACACTTGCTTCCTTTGCCTTACACTGGGGTTTTTAGGATTTACTTTCGTTTTTCTCTTTTTGTCTTTTTTTTTTTTTGTGTTAACTAGCTTTTAAGGTTTCTATTTTAAAATCACCAGGCCATATATTTCTCAAAGATTGGTAAGTATAGAACATTTTAAAACAAGAGAAACCCCTTGCATACTGATCATAGTGGTACAAGCCTTCAATCCCTGCAGAGGCAGACAAATCTGTGCGAGGCCAGCCTGGTCTACAGAGTAAGTTCCGGGACAGCCAGGGCTACACTGAGAAACCCTGTCTCAGGAACACAAAACCAGAGACCCTTGCATTGTATTACAGGTATATTCATTGAAGCATTCTCTGTATTCCCAAACCAACCTACCATTTTCAGTTCATTAAGACATCTCTTATTTTCAGAACATAGGAAGCTCCAATGTGGGTGGGTGTATAAACATCCACCGCAGCCCTTACTCTTAGTAGGTCGGCTACATTTGTGAATTCAGATGGAGAAGATTCTGCTTCCGTGTCTCATTCTTTTTGGACTCCTTAACACCTCTGGAAGCAGAAGAAGCCCAATGAAGTCTGTTTTTATAGTGTTGGCTTTAGCAGGTTCCTGTAGGAAGGAGGTAGAGGCTAATGCTTGAAGTTTGAAGTTGAATTATCCAGGTCCTAGTTAAGTTGAAGCGGGAGGGTGTGTTTCTGTCCGTGATGTATGGCACAGGTCCTTGGGGATAGAGTAGAAGCTTGGGAGAGACTCATTTCTGCATAACTAGCAAGAGCTAGTTGCTATGGACTCATTGATAGAGGTAAGCCCCGTTTTTTGTCATGGGATTAGGTGAGACACAAGGAACTACCCTTTACAAATTTGGGGACTTATCTTGAGTATATTGAGCCTTATGTATGGGGAGGCGCGATTTGGTGGATGTGGACTAGATAATGGTGGGGAAAGAGTACATTGTTAGCCTTTGCTACCTTTTTAGTGTAGAAAGGATTTGTTTTCTGGTAAAAATTACAATTAAAGAGTCAATAAGCTAAAATAGTCTTAAAAGAAGGGGATGATAGTTCTTGGGAGTTGTGGTTCCTCTTCAGATTACCTGATTTAGGCTCTTTCCTTTTTTTTTTTTTTTTTTTTCCCCCACTTGTGGATTTGGGCCTGCAGGAAGCCTGACCTGAATCAGTCCTAGCCATGGAGCTAAAAATAGGGCACTCTTAGAGGACTTGCTAAAACAGTGTCTCAGCCTTTCCCAGTGTTATCACTACCTTGTCTCAAAGCCTCTACCTTTAGCCTGTTTTCATGAAGCAACATAGCAGACCATTAGAATTTTGAGTGTTCAGGGCCTTGAGAAGTAATTGACTATTTGAAGAGTTGTCATTTTAGTCTTGCTTTCTCGTATTGTTTGGCTGAGTAAATTAGTAATAGCCTACACTTATGGTTGTTGATGAGAGTTTTGCATCTGAGCAGCAGGTTCACATTGATGCCGTGTTCTGAAACCTTTGTTAAAAGGAGAAAAAAATAGGTATTCCTGATATTGTTACTGATGAGAAACAAGCTGGAGCAACTTCTGTCTGCCACCTGTTGTAGGTGAATGACTTTAACACAGAAGGCGCTTTGTTGATGGCAGGAAAGCCCTATCAGATGACATTGTGGCTCACTCATATTAATAATACTTGATTCATAACAGTGTCTCATGTAGCTTCTAGGAAAGGTATTACCAAATGTAACTTGTTGAAATGGCAAACAGTTGGTGCTTTTAAAAATATGTGAATGATCCTTGAGATGAAGGAAGCTTAGCCTGTCTGTATAAGGCTACTTTTTAATAACGTCCTAAAACAGTAAGGTTAGGCTAACAGCCAGGTGGTAAATTAAAAAGCTAACCTCAAGGAATACATTTTCAGTCTCTTGGCTTGTTAGAACATAATGGCAATCAGGGGACATTGCATCTCTGGTCCTTGTATAAATGAGCCCTGACTGTTATCCAAGAGAGGTGTAAAAATGTGCAGCTGGGGCCTCTCTTGAATTTTCCTGTTTACCATTAGGGTGACTCAGTTGGAGGTGTGCGTAACCCTTAAAACTGCAAGAGGTCTTGACAGTTTGAGGTGATGTGCTATTTCCTGTGCGTATGGGTGGTGATATGGGATGTGTGAACTTTTGGAGTACTGGGAATACCTTCATTTGAGATACGTATTAATAGAAAGTAATTTTACTTTATTCTCTTTAGTCATGGTAAAAGTATTGGGGATTAGCATATAAGAAATTTAGTTTGTTTTATTTCAGAGCTCAAATTTTGATAAAAAGATAAAATTCCAGTGAATTTTTTTCTTTTGTTGTTGAACTGATTATTTAGGGAAGCAACAGATGAAAGATCATACATTTTGGTTGGTATTTGTGTTTACTTGTTAATTTTTTGTATGTTTGAACATAAAAGTCAAATATTTGTGGGAGTTGCTTCTCTTTTCACCAGGTCCTGGGGCCCAAATTCAGCAAAGCTTTTTTAACAGCTGATCCATCTTGCTAGCCCTAGATAGATTTAGATTTAAGAACAAATCTACAACCTCTTAGGATGACATCATTCAGTTTAGCATGGCTGCCCATTGGGTATTTTTGAATTTCGTAATTTTGATAAACAAAGTTACACATAATAATTCTGAAACCATAGTAGCCCTCCTATGTAACTTAATGTTACAGATGAGAACTTTTTTCCTTGGGGTATTGGGGATTGAACTAGGACTTTGTATGTGCTGGGCTATATACCATTGAGTGATAGATATCCCTGTCAGTCTGTTCATCCGCCCGACTGTCCGTTCGTCCTTCCTTCTTTCCTTCTCTCTCTTTCTCCCAACCCTGTTCTTCTTTTTCTCCCTTGTTGGTTTTTTGAGATAGGGATTCTGTCCATAGCCCTGGCTGTCCTGGAACTCTTCTAGACCAGGTCGACCTTAAACCCAGAGATCAGCCTGCCTCTCCTCCTGAGTGCTGACACTAAAGGAGTGTGCAACCACATCAAGTCTTGTTTTCAATTTTTTAAAAATAAAATTTATTTGTATTTTAGGTGTGTTGGTGCTTTGCTTGCATATATGTCTGAAACAGGAATTATAGACAGTTGTGAGCTGCCATGTGGGTACTGGGAATAGATCCTGGGTCCTCTGGAAGAGTAGCCAGTATTCTTAACCACTGAGCCATCTCTGCAGCCTGCATTTCGGTTCTTTATTCTTCCTCAGTTGCCTACACTAGCAATGTAGTAGACCAGGCAGGGCTTGAACATGGAGACATCCACTGCAGGTAACTTCCTAGTAACTGAATTCTAAATTTGTACCTCTAGGTTTGGCTCTGGTTCTCTTTTATAACGAGCATAGGGTGAGCCCTAGCATTCCCTCGCAGGGGAATTCTTTTCTGCATTGTGAGGAACAAAATTACTGTAGAAGGTTGGCTGGCAGTAGAGGAAAGCCTCTTAGTACAATGTCCTCAAAGGAGTGATTTTTTTTTTTTTTAATGACCTCCCTAGAAATGGTGATAAATTCCCTATAGAATGACATTAGAGACTGGCTGTGGTGGGGCACACCTTTAATCCCAACACTCAGGAGGCAGAGGCAGTGGATCATCTCTGGGTTCAGTGAGTTCCAGGACAGCCAGGGCTACACAAAGAAACCCTGTCTTGAAATGCGTGCCTCCCTCCCCATCCCTCTCCCCCTTGACATTAGGCTTAAAGAGTATTATTTTTATGTTTTAGTCACTGCTCTATTGCTATGAAGAGACATCATGGCAAAGGCAAATCTTAGGAAAGAAAGCATTTAATTGGGGACTTGCTTACAGTTTCAGAGGCTAGTACTTTATCATTATGGTGGGGAGCATGGTGCTGTGCAGGAGGGCACTGGAGCAGTAGCCAGTAGCTGAAACTACATCTACATGGGGGAGCATGCAATGCTGGGCCTGGCATGGGCTTTCGAGACCTCAAAACCTATCTTCATTGACACACTTTCTCCAACAAGGCCGCATCTTCTAATCCTTTCAAACAGTTCTACTCCCTGGTGATCAAGCATTCAAATAAATGAGCCTGAGGGGGCCATTCTCATTTAGACCATCATACTGTGTCATGTCATTGTGCTCAGAGGAGGAGATTAGAATAAAGATTAAAAGGTGTTCACACATCATTTTGAGTGTGATAAAGGTCATTAACCTGTAACTTGAGTTTGTTTTTTTAACAATAAAATGCTTAATAATGTGTTCCTTTTTTTGTTTTAGGTACTGCACTCTCAGTCTCGCCACGTGGAGGTTAGAATGGCTTGTATTCACTACCTTCGAGAGAACAGAGAGAAGTTTGAAGCGGTAATTTTTAAATTCAAATATGATTGTGTCTTGACTTGCATTTGCATTATGACCATTGGAAATGTCCTAGTGGATATTCCACAGTATACACCTTTTTAAGTATTTTTTTCATTGAGAATTTCATAAATATATACATTGTAATTTGCTCATCTATTCCCCGTAGCCTCACCCCAATACATTGCTTTGTCAACCTCATAACCCACCAAGAAGCTCCTTAGCTGGAGTGTGGGGAGGGTCTTGTGAGCTCTTCCCCTATCTGTGATGAAATTTCACTAGTTCTGTGTGTGAGCATCCACAGCTGCCATGAGTTTGAGTGCACAGATCTGTGCTGTGTATGGAAGACAGCAGCACTTCTCTCCATCCTTCAGACCACATTCTGAAGGGTGCTGGCGAGGTTGGTGTAGGTGTCTCATTTAGGGCGAGTCCCTCATAGTCACATACTCAAACTTTTACAAGTTAGGTTTCTGTATTGATCTCTGTCCACTGCCTAAAGAAGCTTATGGGTGCCAGGTTGACAGCTCAGATATATGGGTATAAACAAGTATTTATCCCCGGCACTCGGGACACAGAGTCAGGAGAGGCCAGCCTGGTCTGCCAAGTGGTTCCAGGGCTGCTAGGGCTACACAGAGAAACCCTGTCTCAAAACAACAACAAAAACCCCAAAACAAAACCATTAAGAAGTTATAAGACAGTTTGATTGTTGATTTAGCAAAACCAGCAACTGTTAGGTTCATTCATAGGACTTGTCACCTCCCTAGCCATGAGCTTTTGGTCATAAGGGATGGAGCTGGTCTCATCTATCAGAAAGCAATTGGTTATCCCCCTAAACAGTTAAGCCTCTATTGGACCGGTGGGTACATCTTGCCTGGCAGGTCAGTATCATAGCATGCAGGGTTCAGGGCTAGATAAGGCCATTGTATTTCCTCGCTCAGCAGCCTACATAACATCTTCTTGCATTATGAAAGTTAGCCAGCAGGGAGGAAGTTTTCCCTCCGTTCCAGCTTAATTTCTCTGTGTGTTCCAATCAAAATTTGTGGTGCCTTCCACAGTAGGGTCTTGCCATCTAGTTCTGGTGTGCAGTGAAGAGCAGTGGTAATAGTCTGTGTTCTTTTGTGGCCCTCTGAAGCCTTCCTGACCAATAGCTTATAGATACCCCATCCTTGGTACTGAGAATTTCATTTAATAACCTGTATCTTCTGGAACTGGACTTGTCCACCATGCATAATAGCTTCTTTTAAAATAAACTTAAAAAATTGTCTAACAAAGTAGGGCTTCCTTAAGGCTTTTGTTTGTTTGTTTTTCAAGACAGGGATTCTTTATGTAACAGCCTGGCTGTCCTGAACCTCTCTTTGTAGACTGTGTTGGTCTTAAACTCACAGAGATCCACCTGCCTCTGGGAGTGCTGGGATTAAAGGCATGTGCCACTATGCCTGTCTTTCCTTAGGGCTTTAAAATAACAGTAGTTTTGTTTAATCTGCCCCCCACCTCTTTGTCATCCTGTTCTCTATTTGCACATAAACCCTTCATCTCCATTCCCCATCTCTTCTTTGAAATCATTTGTCCTACAATTTCTTTCCCTTAAGGGTTTTTCCTTCCATACTTCATGGGTCCGGTCTAATGTCCTGACCTCGACAGACGCCCAGAGTTAAACACTTAGCTACAAGCTGGATGTTAGTTGTGATTTTTCTAGCCGTTCATTTGGAGAATGATGGCTAAGGCACTGTGAACTATGGGGCATGGGAGGATGACCTAAGCTTGTGAGTTTCTCTGACTTGATAAGGGAGTTAGGTGTTGAGAGGAATAATGGTATCTGTGGTTGTTATTAACAGTGAGTTAGAAACAAATTGAGACGCAGAGAATAAAACCAAATGTTTTGTGTAGTTTTTATCAGAAGGCATTTATAAATCTTTAATTTTCAGAGTGCATTGTGAAATTATATATCAGAATACTATAATTAATAAAATACTGTATAGCAAAGTAGTGAAATTTTCTCAGTATGTAGTTGTAGTCAGTGGAATAAAATGCCCTAGTTCAAAGCCTTCTAGCATTTCTGAGTTACTGATTTTAAGACTAGATTTCTATAAATTGACAACTTTAACTACTATTTCCCCCTACTTACTGATAATGAATATTGACATTTTATGAATAAATAAAACTTTAATGTTCACATATATGCAAAAAAGTTCTCAATTTGAGTGTGTTACTGGTTTGTATTCCTATATTTAAGCCAATGGAGAGCAGTGTGGTTTAGGATGGGTAGTGATGTTTTCTGGAAGTGTTTCCTACTTGATTAGATGGCTTGAAAACTTACTAAAAAGCTGGTAATGCAGAACCTAGTGATATGGAAGGATTAGGGTGGTGGTAGTGGTAATGTAGGCTGGGAAAGTGAAGTAGTCTATAATATCTGGAGGAGTTACCATGACTTAATCATTATAACCTTGGGACAAAACTATTGATAATAGTTTACATTGTTAGTATTGAACCCTGTATGTCAGGCATTGTCTTAAGTGCCTTACATATATTTATTGGAGATAAGGGCAGAAGATGGAATTTCCAATGCAAAAAGGTTCATTGTTGATGATAACCTTCTAGTTTCAGCCCAGTGTGGTGTGTACCTTTAATTCCAGCACAAGGGAGGCAGAGGCAGGTAGATCTTTGAATTTTAGGCCAGCGTGATCTACAGATTGAGTTCCAGAACACTTAGGGTTACACAGAGAAACTCTGTCTCAAAAGCAAACAAAACAAAGATTCTAGTTTCTTTTGGCACAGTTGGGAATAGGTGCGTGGGAAGGGATGTCCCTAGTACCAACAGTTTTGAATATGGCCTGTGTGAGAACTTTAAACTTAGAAAGGAGACTCAGATGCAGGTTGTGTTAGGATACCATGAAGGTCTTCCAGACATGAAAGGTTTTGAGGACTTTTTGTTTTGGAAATAAACATCTCATGGAAAAGCAGCACCTGACTAATAAATAGGACACGTTGGGATTTAGGACAGTTTTGAAATTTGATAGTATACAATTTACAAAAGAATTCACAAATGATTCCATGGATGTCTAAGTATATCACTCTTGCTAAGTTAACTAGTACTGCAAATTAAATAAAGTTGGACTTAATGGTCAGATAGAATACTTTTTAGCACTTGCCTTAGTAACTCTTCTACTGTTTTGATAAAGTACCACAACCAAGGCAACTTATAGAAGAAAGCATTTAATTTGTGACTCACAGTTGCATAGGCTAGTAAGAGTTCATGACCATCATGGTTTCGGGAGCATTGTGGCAGGCAGGGCGGACGGGTGGGGAGGGTGAAGGAGAGGGGGGGCAGGAGCGAGCTTAAATTTGATCTGCAGACAGGAAGACAGAGCTAATTGAGAATGGTGTGGACTTTTTGAAACCTCAGAGGTCCCTCCTAGTTACATACCTCCTCCAAGACCACACCTCCTAATCCTTCCCAAAGACTTCTATTATCTTTGGACCAAACATTCAAACTACCATAGCACTTTTTCACATTTGTGTAGTTGTTATAATGAAAACAAAAAATGGTTGACTATAGATTATTTCATGGCACAGAAACAAAGCAAGCTGTATTTCAAAAATCTTAATTGAAATGATCTGATTTCCTACTACTCTTCTCTGTGGTTAGCATAATCTGTTTTCTCTGTTTCTTTTGGCCTGAACCTACTGACCATTGCCAAGTTACTCTGAAAATACCATTGCTATTTTTCAGTTCAGAGTGCCATCTGTAGTGGCCCAGAATTGCCTTTTCTGTCTTTTTTGAAAGACTAGGCCCTCTATGAACTGACCCCACTTCCTATCCTCTCATCCAGCTCCCTACTAGGTTGCCCTGCTTCAGTTGGCTAGATTGGTCAGGTCTTCCTCCTTTGCTACATTGGTATTCTGTGTAGTGGCTGCTCCCCTGTGTCCATCCAGGTTCTGGCCAGTTCATGTTGAGGCATCCTCTTCCTGGAAACCTTTCCTGGCAACATTTCCTACTTTAAATTCTTCTGCATATTTATTGTCTTAAGGATTTGTACAGATACCCATGAATATCTTTTAATATTGCTGATAAAGTCTAGGTTTGTATAAGAACCCTGTTTGTATAAGAACTCAGTGAACTTTACACAGTAAACCCACTGTTGTTTGGCATATTTCTTAAAAGTATTTTTTGCTGGGCTGTGGTGGCTCATGCCTTTACTCCCAGCACTTGGGAGACAGAGGCAGGTGGATCTCTGTGAGTTTGAAACCAGCCTGGTCTACAGAGTGAGTTTCAACACAGCCAAGGTTACACAGAGAAACCCTGTCTCAGAAAAGAAAAAATGGTCCCTCCCTCAAAAAAGGGCAGTGGTAGCACATGCCTTTAATCCCAGCACTCGAGAGGTGGAGGCAGGCAGATCTCTGAGTTTGATGCCAGCCTGCTCTACAGAGATAGTTCCTGGACAGACTCCAAAACTATACAGAAAAAAACCTGTCTTGAAAAACAAAACAAACAAACAAAATTAATATGTATGTGTATAACATGTGTTCAGGTACCTTAGCCAGAAGAGGGAGCTGGAGATACAGGTGGTTGTGTGCTGCTGCATGTGAGTGCTGGGGATTGAACCCAGGTCTTCTGCAAAAGCAAGAAGTGTTTTAACCTGCTGAACCACCTCTACAGGTCCCTAATAGAATTTCTTTTCTTGCAGTTTATAGAAGGGTCGTTTGAAGAATATTTAAAACGTTTGGAAAATCCACAGGTATGTATTAGTCGTATTTCTGCTTGTGCAAATATGTATTAAAATTAATTGATGGAAGACAGTAGTGCATTGTATGAAAGTTGAAGTGACTGTACCCTTTGTGCAGTGCTTAGTTGAAAGATAATTGGGCTGGGCCTTGGTGGCGCACGCCTTTAATCCCAGCACTTGGCAGGCAGAGGCAGGCGGATCTCTGTGAGTTCGAGGTCACCCTGATCTACAGAATAAGTTCTGGGACAGTGAGGGCTACCCAGTCTAAAAAAAAAATAAAGATAATTGGAGCTCTTCCTAGAAGTTGTCTTTCTGAGGAGAGAGTTCTGTCTTTTGTATTTGTCATTATGACATGAATATAGCATACAGGATCTGCAATTACTCGGGTGATTTTTGGAATGAATTGTTAGGGTATGTGTATGACTTGGACAAGACAAAGCTTGATTTCTTCTTTAGGGAAAGGAGAGCAGAAAGTTCTTCTGTCTTAACTACCTTTGTTTCTTTTTCCTCCCCTGCTTAAAAGCTCACTGAAAATCCATGTTGTAGAATGTAGGCTAAGGATATACAGCTTAGCAGTTTCTTAGCATGTTGTATTTCAGTCCCCATGTCTTAGGGTTTCTGTTGCTGTGAAAAGACACCATGACTGACAGCTCTTCCAAAGGAAACATTTAATTGAGGGGCTTGCTTACAGTCCACTATCATCTTGATGGAGAGCATGGTGACAAGCAGGCAGATGTGGCACTGGAGGAATATCTGAGAGTCCTACATCTTGGAGGCAACACAAAATCGACTGACACTGAGGGAGGTTGAGTAAAAGAGACCTGAAAGCCTGCCCCACAGTGATGTACTTTCTCCCAACAAGGCCGGACCTCTTATGCCACTCCCTTTGTGGGGCCATTTTCTATCAAACCACCACATTTCATAAACCCCCAGTGTCATGGAATGTGCATTAGTTCAGGTTCTCTAGAGGAATAGAACTGAAGGAATGAATGCATATTATCAAAGGAATTTGTTAGGTGGTCTTCATGCTCTGGGTCTAGCAGTCCAGCAATGGCTATCTGAGTACTGGAGAGGCTGAGAACCTGGTAGCTGTTGCTCTGTCCAAGGCTGAATGCCTTAGCAGTCTCAGTCTGGTGCTGAAGGCCTGGGAGATTCCTGGTATTCTAATCATCATTTCCCATCAGAAGACAGAAGAAACTTAAACTTGCTTCTAACATCAGTGGAAGGTGATAGCAGCAGGGTACATGCATACATCAGCATTAGACAAAGGTAGGCAGACAAAAGCAGCCCTGACTTTTTTTTCCCTTGCCTTGAGACTTCTTTATTACAGGCCTGTTTTGGGAATGCATTGCCTTGTTCTTCTTTTCCACTTGACTTGTGTCTTCCCTGAGAATTATGTCTTAGCTGTTCCAGATTCAATCAGGTTGACAGCTAAGAATAACCACCATAGGATGGTTTTAGATGTTCCCATCATCTACTATGTAGGTAAAGGTAACAATGGCAGGGACTGGAGAGATGTCTCAGCAGTTAAGAGCACTTACTGCTCTTGTAGAGGACCCGGTTTAGTTCATAGCACTTGTGGTGGTTCTAGTTTCAGGGGATCTGACATCCTCTTCTGATTTCTCTGGGCACCATGCATGTGTGTGGTACACATACATATGGGTAGGCAAAACACTCAGACATATAAAATACCAATAAATCTATAAAAAGAGTAATATTGGCAAAGGAAAAAGCTGTGAAGAGAGAGGTAGCTGTTTAAGGGAGTAACACTAGGAGGGGTGTCTTAGTGATGGGGTATTCATTTGGTGGATATGTAGTATCAGTTTCAGTGCTTGAGAGACTCTGGAGAGATGTCGATATCTCAAATGACCAGAATTTCTCTGAAGGTGGGATGTAAATTAGGAAAGTGCATGTGTCAGGAAAGACTGAGGGTGGATGTTAGGCCGCAGCTGCAACAAGACTTTGAGTTCACATTTGAAGTCTGCGTAGGTCCAAACAAGCAGTGCTTTGGCTGAAGGGCATTCTAAAAGGCAGTAAAAACTGAGTAAGGCAGTGCTAGCCGTTTGTACGGAGAATGGAGCGTGTGCGGGTAAGAAGTAGTGAGAAATAAGCTGGAGGATAGGATGGGGCCAGTGAGTAAGTGGATTTTATCATCATCACCTGCTGGTATGTGTGTGCAAATGTAGATTAGTTGGCTTCCATCCTAAATGCTAAATCCCTAAGGCCTTGAAGTCTGTGTATCGACCATTGAAAAGACATTTGAAGGTTTTGAGTTAGGAAGTGAGAATTGTGACTATGCTCAGCATTACTGTGATGTTCTGCATTCAGCTATTGTTTTGTGTATTTTATTTTCTACCTGAATTCATCTCTTTGAACTTAGAATTCTCTATGTTGTATTCATTGGTATGACCTAGAGTCAAAAGTAATGCCCTGTATTTTTGTAGTCAGGATGGATAAATTAAAAGCGTATTGTATCAAATGTTACTATTTTGTAGACCTGAGGATTGATCCAGAACCTGTGCGTATTAGACCAGGGCTTTGTCAATGAGCTGTATTCCTAGGCCGTGGTCTTTTGACATGGGCTTTACTAAAGTAGATCATGCAGGCAGTGAACTCACTGTATATAGAACAGGCCAATTTGAACTCATTGGTTTTCTTTTCTTCCCACTTTAAATGTTATGATTATAGATATGCTACCACCATGTCTGGTTGAAAATAACAAGTAGTGGATGAGACTGGACATTCATTTCTTATTTTTAAAAATCCCTAAAACATTTTTGACTTGTAATAATTGTCCATATTTTTGGGGTATGGTTTATACCTTTTTGTAGGTGTATATAAGTGTAATAATCAAATCAGATTTGTCATCATATGGTCTGTCAGCATATCTGTCACTTCCGTCAGCATTTGGTGTTGGGAATGTCTGTAGTTGTCTTCATTAGTATTTTGAAATGCACAGTTAGATATAGGCAGTTAGAGTGCCCTTGTATGTTAGGTACTAGAGTCTGCTCCTTTTACCCATGCTAATCATCCTCCTTTCCTGCTTCCTGGCCTCTAACCACCATTCTTCTGCAGCTGTGAGGTCAGCCTTTTAGTTCCCATGTGGTTGTAAGGACTTAGTGTTTGTCATAAAGACTCATTTAAATAATTTTTTCATTGTCTTTTTTAAAAATATATTATTATATATGTGATATATATAAAATTGGTTTTTGGAGGCAGGGTTTCTCTGTGTAGCTTTGGAGCCTGTCATGGAACTCACTCTTTAGTCCAGGCTGGCCTCGAACTCAGAGATCTACCTGCCTCTGCCTCCTGAGTGCTGGGGTTAAAGGCATGTGCTGCTGCCATCGCCAAGAATTTTTTTTAAAAGTGTGTTGCTGTATGCCTGGTGCCTGCTTAGGTCTGAAGAGGAAATTGGATCCCTTGCAACTGGAACTACAAATGATTGTGAGCTGCCATGTGGGTACTGGGAACTAAACCCTGATCTTGGAGTACTCTTATCACTGGACCGCCTCTCTAGACTCACAGAGTTCCAGGATAGCCAGGATGACATAGTGACCCCTTCCAAAACAAAAGCAGAAAAAAAAAGTATTTTATATATAGAAAAATGGATGATTATGTGTAAAAAGAATAATTGTAATGTCACTCTAGTCTTTGAGACAAATACCTCAGTAGGCCTTTTCACTGAATACATACATGACCCAGGCTGTTTTTGATTAATTCAGAAACATGAGCAGACTCATTTTCCTGGATGTGGAACTCCTCCCCCATTACAAGTCTCTTAGAAGACAGAGATTGATAAATATTTTTATTGCTTTGTTATTTTTGTAATTAACCTAATTTAGTTGCCCAACTGATGACCAGTATATATTAATTGATTGTAAAATGGATACATAAACAGAGTCATGTCAGTAGTAGTCTAAATGACAGCAACTAGAGGTGATTTTTGCTGGCTTTAGAGAAAATACCAAGAATTATAAAGGACATTTATTAATTTAATTAGAAAACTGTAGTGTTTCATAAGATCTTCAGGCTAATATCTGTAAAACCCTGAAAGACAGAAGAAATGAGGCTGTATAGACTAACAGTTTTATTTGGTTGGGGGTAGGCTCTACCTGTATGGAAGGGGCTTGAACACCTGGGATGGGTTGTCTAGCTAGGTTTAGTCCTGAAGAAACACTTCCCTGTTACCTCAATGCCTTAGATACCTCTGAAACAGTTTTTTTCATTACTGGCAACATATTTTTTATAGATTGTCCTGTTTTTCCATGTCTCTTTTAATACAGGGTGTATATTTAAGGGAAGCTACTACAGTTGATTGGTAAATTCCATTGCTTACTCTAGTTCTCTGGGAGAATACTTTGAAAAAAAAAAAGTTCAAATTTTTTAAGAATGTTTATGTGAACTTTGTTGAAGCCAAGTTGACTTTGTCTCTTATATGTAATGTGCCGTATGGATTTACCATTTATCCACAGCTTAGTTTTCCCAGAGATCACCAGCACAAGTATTGCGGTTTCAGTCAGTCAGTCACTCTTGGTCTACAGAGTGATCTCCAAGACAGCGAGGGCTACACAGAGAAACCCTGTCTAGAAAAACAAAATAAAACAAATAAAAAACCCAAAAAATTAATTTCCTTATTTTTTTGTGCTTAATCTTTCCACCTGGTTCCTGGAAATTATCAATCTTTTTAGGTTTTGACATTTTTAGGTTTATAAAAGGAATAACCTTTTATTTATTTATTTAATTTGTTATTTTTTTCTGAGACAGGGTTTCTTTATGCAGCATTGGCTGTCTGGAACTCACTCTGCAGACCAGGCTGGCCTCAAACTCACAGAGATCCTCCTGCCTCTGCCTCCTGGGTGCTGGGATTAATGGTGTGCACTACCCACTGCTCATTTTCTTTTAAGAAATAGAAATTTATTTATTAATATTTATTAATAGAAATATCTGATGACTGATCTTTGGTTAAGGGAGATGAGGGTATTCTGTTGATGGTCATTGTTTAATAGAACTTATTTGGAAGGTTAACCATAAGAAGACATTATTTACTAGTGCCCCTCTAGCCCACCAACAGGGTTTTTCTGTGTAACAGCCTTGGCCATTCTGGAACTTGTCCTATAAACCAGGCTGGCCAGAGATTCTCCTGCCTCTGCCTTTCTAGTGCTAGAATTAAAGGTGTATACCACCACTGTGACCACGTCTAGCTATTTTACTTTTAAAAAGATTTGTTTTATGTTTATGATGTTTTAATGTCACATATCTATGTGCACTGCACATACATTGTGTTTGTGGACATTAGAAGATGATGAGTCCTCTGGACCTTAGAATTACCAATATTGTAAGCTAGGGTGTGTGAGTGCAGGGGACTGCAGTCTGGGTCTTCTGTAAGAGCAGCGAGTGCTCCTAGTTGCTGAGCCATCTCTCCAGCCCAACATGTACATTTTTAGATGTGATGTGGCCCATATTGCATAAGTGAAGAGTGTAGTATTTGTGAGCTAAACAGTCTTCTAGAGGATATCACATTGGGACTATTTGAGAGGCCTTATTATTAATTAGGCTAAGGTGTAGTTCAAGACGTCTGTTTTAGTATGTGACACCTATTTTGTCTTGAATTTGGAAGAGCTATTGAAACATAAAGTTCCTTCCTGAAGCCGTGGTGGTGGCACATGCCTTTAATCTCAGCACTCCAGAGGCAGAGGCAGAGACAGATAAATTTCTTTGAGTTGGAAGCCATCCTAGTCTCAAGAGTGAGTCCAAGGCCAGCCTGGGCTGCATAGAGAAACCCTGGGGGTGAGGGAGGGCCTTGTTTATGGTGAATGTGTATAATATATATTGTAAAATGTGAGATACTTATATGCCAATTTTTCTTCCCTTGATACAGGAATGGGTAGGACAAGTGGAAATAAGTGCCCTTTCTCTTATGTACAGGTAAACTGTAGAACTCTCAAATAAAATAGTAAAAATAAAATAATTGGAAAATTAGTATAGTGCATTCAACCAAAATTTTTAATTCAAGCTGTTTTATACCTTAGTTCTGGAAGATCTTCTCTAAGGCTTTTTGTCCGTTTATTTAATTGCATCAGATACCAGTGTTTAAAAGTTTTAATTCTCGAGGGGTTGTTGATAAAAGGCACAGGAAAAAAAAATGTCTTACTGTGTTCTAAAAACTATTGTTTACCAACTTTATAGAGAAAAGGCTTCCTCTCAGGGCCAGTAGAATGAATGGCTTCAGGAACAGGACTCTAATTTATATGGGTGCCAGATTTCCTTTTACAATTAATCTTTGCAGTTATTTATGCTGTATAGCTTACATATGAATTAATTTGAGATTTCAGTTTTTGGAAGCACTACTTTAGATATTTTATAGTGAGGTTATTTCATTTTCTTTTTTTCCCCTGCTCTGTCTTCAGTGCCTAGAATATTGCCTGATGCACAGATAAATGAATAAGTCAATGAAATACATTTTTTGAAAAGTAATATCTGAGTTTTATTTTTAGGAAAGATTTTGTAATATATCAGGAGCCAAATGTTTCACCTTCACAAGTAACTGAAAATAATTTTCCTGAAAAGGTAAGACTTTTTTGAAATATTTAAAAAATATTTAAATAAAAGCTGCTTAATTGGTATCTTGACCTCCTAAGCTGTAATTTTAAATGACTTGAAATATTGCTTATATGAAAGTTATGATATTGTTTTTTTAAAGTTAGTCAAGTCATATTTTTTAAAAATGGATGTTTATGTGACCAAGGTTATTTCTGTTTCATCCTGATATTAAGTAGTCTGACAACTTGTGGACATAGCACTGCTTTTGCCTGTTTCCCACTGGAAAGGTCATTTTGGTAGCAGCAGTATCGCTGCATTGTGTGGTCATAGGGTAGGAACAGTGGAAAAGTTTTATGAAGCCTAGAAAGCAAAGAAACCAGCTGATTCACTGTAAGAGAATATTAGTTTAGTGGAATCATGCAGGTCCAGGTGAAGGATACTGTGTCTTAATTGTGTTTAAGAGGGGGAGAGGAAGTGATGAAATGCCATCGTTTAAGGATGGGGAGAGAAGGGACTTGATCTCAGTGTTCCATCTGCAGTGTTTTGGTCTGTGGCATGTTTCAAACATAATGTAGTGATGCACAACTATAATCATAGCACTTGTTTGTTGTTTTTAAGACAGAGTCTCAAGTATCCCAGGCTGGCCTCAAACTCACTGTAAAGTGGAAACTGGCCTTGAAACTTTTGATGTAAGTGCAGTCTGGCTTTTCACCATGATATGGTGAATTGTAGTGTGACAACATTGGAGCTTTGTTGTTCCTGAAATACGGTTTTGAAAACGAGTGATTCAGAGGCTTTGGAAACAGTTTTTTTTTTTTTTTTTGTGAATGTTAAATATGTGATTGACTGAAATGTTGCTTATTTTCTTCAGGTGTTACTGTGTTTTTCGAATGGAAATCATTATGATATTGTCTATCCTATAACATATAAAGATAGTTCTGCTGTGTGTCAGTGTAAGTATCTTCTTGTGTTCAAACATATAGAAATTATAGCTTAAGCTACACAGCCTTAGTTAGGATTTGTATTGATTTTTCAAGTTATTATATAGCTTGAAAATTCAGGTGAGTGAACAAATGAGGCATTTGATTGTATTTTATTTGAAGGGAGGATCTCCTACCCTTGACACTGTAGAGATTTTCAGCCAGATTCTTCTTTTGGGGTGTTTTCCTGTGCTTTGTAGGATGTTTACTAGCACGCTAGCCTTTATCCAGTCGATGAGAGTCACATTTGGTACCCCATTGATACTCAGTTTCTACAGGTTTTCCTAAATATTTCCTGGTTGACGAAATTTCCCTCCCACACATGTGAGAATACTATTTTAGGAGAAGAGAAATGGCCACCTTCCCTGCTTTAGTGACTTTTCCTCATGAGCAGTAGTTTTGTATGTAGTCGATCTCTTATTTTTCCTTTTTGTTCTCTGAGGCAGGGTCTTGCTATCTAGCCTTGACTAACCACCTGTCTCTGTCTCCCAGTTACTGGAATTAGGTATGCACTACCACACCCGACTTTTTTTCTACTTTAAGTATCCAGTAAAAGTATGAGTGTGAACATTTTGAAAGTACAAGTTTTATATTTGAGGTGGGAACATTTATTAGCTATCTTTTGGGCTGCATCTCCCACTTTCCTGGCTAAAGTCAGGACATTTCAGTGTTGCGAAAGAGGAAGCCTTTTTAGAGTGCCTTCCCTGTACTGAATGTGGGTGATTCTGAGACTTTATCACCTCTTACCCAGAATCTGGAAGATAGATGGTCTGTGAGATGGTTTGTGGGGCTCCACTTAGATGGTGAGCATGAACTTAGTTTCAGGAAGTGCACTGTAATAAGTAAATGAGTATCACAGTTCGCATGGTTTTGAATATTTTTTAAATTTTTGGTAAACTTTTTTCCTGTTATTACAACTTTTTAAATTTGACAAAAGTAATCAATATTCTCTCCTTCAGGGATGACTGAGAATATTTTTTTTGTATGAGTGTGCCTATTACAATGTTTGTGAGTGTGGATGCATGCGAGAGCCAAAGGTCAGCCCCCCCCCCCCCCATTTTGTCTTATGTGTGCGTGTGTCTAAAATGTGGGGGTGGACAGTGAGTGATATGGCTTGAGGTCAACATTGGATGTTCTCTTCAGCTTAAATTTTGAGACCAGATCTCTCACTGAATCTGGTTGGAGCTCACCTTTTTGCCTAGTCTGGCTGACCGGCAACCACTAGAGCAGCTCCTGTCTCCACCTCCTTGGCACTAGTATAATAAGCGCATGGTACCACACCTGGCTTTTTAATGTGCGTGCTGGGGATCCAAACCATGCTCTTAATGCTTATAAACCAAGTATTTACCAACTGAGCCATCTTCCAAGTCCCTAAAATATATTTTCTAAGTTGTTTTTTTGTTTGTTTGTTTTTTAGTTCATTGTGTACAAAGTTAAAATATGAAGCCAGATTACAGGGAGCCTTCTCCCTCATGTTTTACAGAACCTGATGAGTACTTTATCTAATATTCCAATCTTCTGACTTGTCAGCTAGTGTACTCTAATGTTCTGCATATCTACAAACTTAATTTTGCTTAATCTTTCCTATCTGAAACCTTTGGGTTAGGCCTTTTGCGAGACATCCCTATGAAAATGGTAGTGCTTCATGTGCTGGGAGTAACAGAGGACACAGCGAGCTTGAGTGTGTGGAACCAAGTCATTGCTCACTTTCCTGTCATATTCGCATCATAGATCTGATACTTTTTAATTGTATTTTAAATATGTACTCTAAAGCAAAGTTTCAAACATAATATGCACAGACAAAATTTCCTGTTGCTTTCTAGGTATCTTTCAGATTAAGTGGCGCTATTAACTCTAAGGTTTTATATATACCTACTAAGAATTTTGGAAGCCTGAGTGGTACTGTGTCACACTTTCCCTGTTTTCAAAACATGCGTATAATGTTGCATACTATGCCTCTTTATATTGCAGCTCTCCTTTATGAATTGCTGTATGAGAAGGTATTTAAAACTGATGTTAGTAAAATCATGATGGGACTAGAAACGTCTGAAGTGGTTGATGAAAGCAATAGTGAAATATCAGATTCTGAGGATGACAGCTGCAAGTAAGAATCATTTCAATCTTTTTGTTTTTTGTTTTTTGTTTTTTTTTTTGTTTTTTTGAGACAGGGTTTCTCTGTGGCTTTGGAGCCTGTCCTGGAACTAGCTCTTGTAGACCAGGCTGGCCTCGAACTCACAGAGATCTGCCTGCCTCTGCCTCCCTAGTGCTGGGATTAAAGGCGTGCGCCACCACCGCCCAGCTAGATAGATTGTTTTAACTTGCTACCTATACTTGGAGTGGGAGAGTCTTTAAACTTGTCTCTTGAATGCTGTAGATGTTTGTAGTGTTACAGAAGCAAATCCAGGATGTGACTCTAGACATCTGGGAAGGGGAGCAGGTATGTGGTAGGATGTATGGGGTTTTTTTTTTGTGCTTGGCTTCCCTTTTATATTGTCCTTGAAATGTAGCTTACCTTTTCATTATATTAAAGTTCTTTTGCTGTATGTGTGTATAACTATATATTCACTATACAATATATATAATATATATGCACATTAAAATTGCTTTAGCTATATACATGTATATATACATACTTACATATGGCACATATATATATCTAGAGATTGAGTGCTTGCCTAGCTTGTGAGAGGCCCTGAATGTGAGTGAGTTCCTGTACTAGAAGTGGGGGGATACCTTTTTGTCACATTGGTTTTGAGAGGATGAATAATGTATAATCTTGTCAAGTGTAGATCCATTTAGTGAGATAACTGTTGTAATAGGAGCAGCGGGCTGCTTCCCGCCACCCAGCTAGCTTTATACCCGAAATAATTACACGGAAACTGTATTCTTTTAAACACTGCCTGGCCCATTAGTTCCAGCCTCTTATTTATTGGCTAGCTCTTACATATTGATCTAACCCATTTCTAATATCCCTGTAACACCACGAGGTGTCTTACCAGGGAAGATCTTAACCTGCGTCTGTGTCTGGTAGGAGAATCATGGCAACTCACTGACTCAGCTTCTTTCTCCCAGCATTCTGTTCTGTTTACTCCGCCTACCTAATTTTATGTCCTATTAAAGGGCCAAGGCAGTTTCTTTATTTAACCAATGAAACAACAGATAGAAAGATGACCCTCCTCCATCAGGTAACTAGGAGGAAAGAGGTGTAATATGCTCTAGGTTTTATTTTCACCTTTGTATTGTTGGATCTTGAGGTGTACTTGGAATGATGAGTGATTTCTGGTCTAGACTTCAGGCTCTTGCTCCCTTTTGTGAATATTTGGAGGTTATTTTGAAACTTAGAGGTCGATTTCTTGAGGAGAAGTAGGACAGCAAAGTTGATACTGTAGGGGCTACTTAGGCCCTTTTCCTCTTCAGCCTCTTGTCAACTTTGGGCTCTTCCTTTGTATGGAGTACTAGATATGATATACTGTCTTGTTACCTGTCTTTATTCAAAGGCATCTGTTTCAGCAAGACCTTCCTCCCCCACTTTGTATTTAATCTTACATTGCTGTGCTCGCTGCCTTTCGTTTGCTGTAGTACTTAGTAGCTCTTATGTACTGACTGCTTACCTAGTTTGTGTTTACTTGTACCTGGATTGTATAGGCACAGTTTTGTAGTGAGCAGCACATAGTAGGCTTTCATACTTGTTGAGAAAATGAATGAAAAGTGGGCTGATGATGGTTCCTTGGTTGTACTGAGGAACAGGAAGTATTTTTTAGAAAATGGTTATGACTCTTTAGACATCTGTTACAAATTTTTATTAAATGGTATAATTTGGTTATAACAGTTTTGTAAAAGTTTTTAATACTTAAGAAAGTTTTATGTTGAATCTTTTGTAGATTGTTATTCTACTCACTCAAATGCTGCATCCTGCCACCCCTATTGTTTTTATTAAGCCAGTAAGAATTAATAGTAATAAATATGATTTTTATATATGCACACACACCCACTTTATATATGTGTAATATATATTTGCGTATACTAAAACTTAAGAACTTACTGGAGCCTCACATTTTAATATGTAGTTGACTGCAGTGTTTTATTTGAGGTTAAAAGTTGATTACATGTCAGGTGGTGGTACACACCTGTGAGTTTGAGGCCAGCCTGGTCTACAGAGTGAGTTCTAGGATAGCTAGAGCTACACAGAGAAACCCTGTCTCAAAAAAAAAAAAAAAGTTGATTACATTAACAGTAAATAGTATGTATGCCTATAAATCCTAGTACTCAGGAGACAGGGATCTCTGAGTTGAGTCCAGCCTGCTCTACAAAGTGAGTTCCAGGACAACCAGAGTTGTTAAACAGAGAAACTTTGTTTCAAAACAAAACAAAAGAAAGGTTGATTGTATGCAAATATAACTTCGGTTCCTAATTGGTGTTTTGTTCCTTTATAGGAGTAAGAGTACTGCTGCTACTGATGTGAATGGATTTAAGCCTTCAGGCAGTGAGGTATTTTTTTTAACTTAATCTTTAGTATATAAGAAGCCCCAAATTTTATGGGCATTTTCCTTAGTTGGCGTTGCTATGTTAGTAAGAAACTTAATTTGGGGGAGCTCAGCACTGAGACCAAGGGCTAAAGCTGGGAGATTGAAAAATGCAGACCACCAAGACATTGCTTGTTCTGGTTTGCTTCTGGACCAGGGTCTAATCAGGCCTGTGTCTGGACAGCTTTCCTGCAGCCGCTCCCCTCTCAAAGTGGCCAGATGGGAATTCAGGACCAGTGTTGTTTTCCAGCATTGACACGGCCCACCATGCTATTGGTGCTGACACTGCCTCAGTTGGTGTGACTGGGCCAGGGACTTGCTTTGGAACAGTGTTTGGTAGCTTGATTGGCTGTACTGTCTCGCAAGCAACAGTTCTCCTCCTATGCCCTTCTGGCCTCTTCTGTTTGATGATCACCTTCCTCATCCTTTTCTCCATGAGGCTACATGACATCACACAGCGGTTCCTGGTGCTGGAGTGTGCTAATAAGCTTTACCGTTAAACAACGAAGAAAAAAAGGAAAGAAAAGAAGGAACTTATTTGCTGCTTCCTACTTTTTTAAGTTTTTTTTTTGTTGTTTTACTTTTGTGCATATTTGAAACAATGTTTTAAATGCATTTCTGTGTTGATTGGAAGTCTGACATTGTTTATTTAGAACCCAGAGAACAATGGGAATGTGGCTGACCTTCCTCTGTCCAGAAAGGTTCTTAAGTCGCTCAACCCAGCAGTCTATAGAAATGTGGAGTATGAAATTTGGCTGAAGTCCAAACAAGGTAAGTTAAACTGAATGTTCTGTAAAATTGCCTTGTAGCACTTGAAAATAAGAAGATAAAGTTGGTATTTTATTGATTTTTTTTTTTTTTTAACTAACAGCTCAACAGAAACGTGATTATTCCATTGCTGCTGGATTACAATATGAAGTTGGAGATAAATGCCACGTAAGTGATTTCTACTAAAAGAGAAAGTGACTTTATCTTACTTTCTAAAGAAACCATCAACTAAAATTTGACTGTTCATTATTTGGATTTTACAGTTCATTTATGCTAAACACAAGTAGAATCATCCTAATGTTGAAATTTGTTTGTAAAATTTTTGTTGTCCTTGTTGTTTTTGAGACAGTGTTTCACTGTATAGTCCTGGCTGGTCCGGAACTCTGTAGGCCAGGCTGGCCTCAAGTTCACAGAGATCCTACTGCCACTGCCTCCCGAGTGCTGGGTCTTTATCCATTTTATTTGAATTCAATTTATTTGAAATCATAAGCAGTTGAAATGATATATAGGTGACTTTATAACTCATTTAAAAATGAGCTACTGATGTATGTATTAAAAAGAATCGGGTGTCTGATTTTTCTTTTTGGTGTTCAACAGGTTAGATTGGATCATAATGGAAAATTTTCTAATGCAGATAGTCATGGCATTCACTCTGAGAATGGACCAGTTTTATCAGAAGAACCGGGAAAAAAGTATGTATTTTTCAGCCAAGGTGTTTGCTAAAACTCTTTGATTTAGCCTACTGCAAATATGAATACTGGTTTCCTTGCAGAGGAAGCTAGGTATGCAACTTGTTCAAGGCCAGTCTGGTCTACATAGAGGTCTAGGGAAGCCAGGGGTATCAAAAAAATAAAAATAAAAGCAAAAGCAAAACTCAGAACTAAAAATAGAACTAACCAAACAAAAGAGAATAAACAGCAACAAAAGCAGGAACTCAATTTAATCTCTAACTTCTGAATAAAAGCCAGGCATAGCTGTGTATGCCTGTAACACAAGTATTGGACATCAGAAGTAGGTGAATCCCTGGTGCTCAGCTAGCCATGTAAAATGAACTTCAGGTTTATTGGAGGTGTACCTTGAAAAACCTGATAGAAACATGCACACATATAGCATACACATAGGCAGCATACAAGCACACACAGTAGTTTGAGTTTAAATCTAATGTTTTGCTCATTGGTACATTTTCTGAAATGCTCGTTAATTTTAATGGCTACAGTATATTTAAAATATATATTTTAAAATATATTCTTCATCAAAATCAATTGAGAAAGAAATTTAAAGAACACCATAAGTTGGTGAGTTTATAAAGTATGGAGTTATAGAACAGGCACCATATTCCTTTTTATTTTCTTAGGTGCAGGATTATATACAGTCAGTAGTTTGTCAGTGGCTGGGTGTGGAGGTGTATGCCATTAACCCAGCACTCAGGAAGTAGAGTCAAGCAGATTTCCTGGGCCAAAGTGGTAGATAAAGTTGATGTGAACTAGGGCTGCATAGTGAAACCTTTTTTAAAGAGTGTCAGTAATATCCAAAAAAAAAAAAAAATGTTTGAATTACTGCTCCCTTTACTAGAGGAAAAGGTAATAAACTACACCTTAATCTTTATTAAAAAAACAAATTTAAATATATATGACTGTAAAGTATATAGTACAGCAAACTCCAATATAAATATCACTACTTCCCTATATTTAATTTCTTTTGGCTTTTTTGAGACAGGGTTTCTCTGTTACCCTGGCTTTTCTGGAGCTTACTCTGTAGACCAGGCTACCTTCAAACTCAGGGATCTGCCTGCCTCTGCCTCCATATTGCTGGGATTAAAGGTCACCTCAGCTAGCCCTTACTTAGTATTTAATGAACCTTGTTTTGTTTTGTTTGTAACATCTCACTTCGTTGCACTGCCTGTCTTGAAAGCTGTGTATAGTTCAGGTTGGCCTCACAGAAATAGACCTGCATCTGCCTCCAGGAAGGCTTGGATTAAGGATATGTAGCATCTGCTAATTTACCCTTTCTCTTTTTTTCCTCTCTCTAAAATAAATATAAATATTTATTTTTTTGGGACTGGTTCTACATAAACCTGACTGTTTTAGAGCTCACTGTAGACCAGGCATGTGCTAGTATGCCTGGCTAAAATTGGAAATATTGAAGATAGAAAATCTCTAATATCAATGCAGGATATGTGTTTTAATGTTGATTCTTAAAGATGTAGTGTTTTGTCGGCATGTTAAGTGCAGTGCATGCATGTTTGCTGCTTGAGGAGGCTAGGAGAGGGTATTGGGTCCTCTCGCATTGGAGTTACGACCTTTATGAGCCAGGGTGCTGAGAGTTGGACCCTGGTTCTAGAAGAGCAGCCAGTGCTCTTAACCACTGAGCCCACTCTCCAGCCGTGTTCCTATGCAATATTATTACTAATGAAGATTTCATTTACTTTGAAGACATACACCGAAGAACCTCAAGCCCCCTCCCCCAGAAAGCTGGAACACAGTGTCAGGAAAGAAGATGAAAAAGTCTAATTCAGGTAAATTCATAACAAAGTTTTATAAGATTATGATGATAGTACTTGGAGTTGTTAATTTATGCCAGGGAAATTGTGAGATCGTTTTGTGTTTTCCACAGATACGGATTACAGAGGGCCAAAGAGTCTAAGCAAGCCAATAAAAGCCCCATCAGCACTACCTCCTCGACTACAGCATCCTCCTTCGGGTGTAAGACAGCATGCATTCTCTAGTCATTCTTCAGGGTCCCAGTCTCAAAAATCCTCCAGTGAGCATAAGAATCTAAGTAGGACACCCTCACAGATCATAAGGTAACCTTCCCGAATTCAAGAGAAGTAGAAGTCATGAGAGGCATTGTATGTGTTTTATTATAGTCATTTTTTTTTGTTACAATTTCTTGTTGGTATTTGTTTATAATGTAGTATTGAAAAGTATTGCCAGGTGGTGGTTGTGCACACTTTTAATGCCAGCACACAGGAAGCAGAGGCAGGTAGATCTCTGAGTTCAAGGCCAGCCTGGTCTACAAAGCGACCTCCAGCACAGCCAGGGCTATACAGAAAAATCTTATCTCATAAAACTTAAAAGAAAAGTATTACTGATAGAATTCCCAAATGGTAAAAAATAACACTATAGAGGAATAAGCCTTTATTTTTGAATATTTTGTTTAAAGTGTGGCAAATGTTTATGGTAGCTCTGTGGGACCTCTCAACCACTGAGGCCAGAAGAATAATGATCCACAGGAGGCAAGAAGGTGTATAGGTAATACCTTAAGCAAAAAATAGAAACAGTATAAGGACAGTAACTTCAAATTTGTAACTATATACAAAACTATTTTAAACAGAAGTAGGAACATACATACAGTATAACAAAAATAACCTTAAATTTGTATAAGTATACAAAAATCTATAGCAATGTAAATTATTTAAAACTACTAGTTGATTTTTTTTTTTAAATTTCAAAGTAGATTCAGTAATGTACCTTTTTATCCTATCTTGTCTGTCCTCCCCCCTTTTGATCATACCCAATGATGACAACTGGTAACTAACCCCACTTATGTGATGACAAATATCCATAACCCAGTGAAAGACCAAAAACCATCTACCCCGTGTCTTGGGAATGTGGGTGTCGTGTTTTCAAAATTACTTCCTTCTGTCGGGAGGGTGACTGCCATCTTTAGGGGACGCTTAGCAATTTGTAGTCCAAAGTTGATCTTTGGGTGGTGTTTCTGGGCTTAGTGGCTTATCACAAACTGGGGAGAATCGTTATTGTGGGGCCCTATCATTCTTTTAGAGACTTCAGAGATTGTTAGAAATGTTTATCATTCACTTCATACTGTCATGAGTTGTAAATCTTATGGTGGTTAAAGGAGGACCATGATCTGTTAAATACATCCGGGATATCTAGGCTCAGTTCCTAAATATAAGCTTCTGACTCAAGCCTGAAATCATGTACAGGAAGCTACATGAAACCTAAGGTTAGCATTAGTTAAGTTAGTACTTTATAATATTGTTAATTTAAAACAGGAAGTTAAATTTTTAGATAATACTTATATCTAAAAAAGTTTTAAGGAATCATAATGATTTGAGGGGTATGAGATTAGTGACAATATAATATTTTCTTCTGTCGCATACCAGGTATCTCTTGATATAAGACAGGGACTTTGAACTTTCTTTTAATAAACATGCTTGGGCCTAAAAAGAAGAGAGCCACAGCCCAACTCCAAAAGCCAGCTTTAGTTTTTGAGTCAGAACTACTTAAAGACCACTTGTTATGTAGAGACCAGCAAAAATAGACATTTTGAAAGGTTTATGAAATTTTATCCTGTAGGAAGTAACATTAGGCCAGATTACTCCTACTTTTGGTATTTTTTCCCCCCAGATGGTTCTCCCTTACTTTTTCAATGCTTTATTTGTTCAAAGGTTTTTAGGTCCCTCAGTTGGATGTTTATATTTTCCTAGAAAGACAAAAACACCTAATTTGAGTTTTCCCTTTTATCAGGTTGAATTGCAACATCAGTTGATGAATTGTCTATCACCTTTTCTAATCAAAAGATCTCTCTTGCTAGAATTGAATATTGAGGGTATCTATAGCTTCTCTCCTGTGAAAACAAAAGCAAAACCTCTTCCCCAATTTAACACATTCTGGTTTTCATTCTGAAGTTAACACGTTTTTAAAGCATGCTGGTTGGTTTATTTAGTTTGGAATCTGTAAAATATACCTTCAGTAAAGGATAGGCTCTTGTGAACCTCTACTAACTTCTCCCCCTGACAGAGTGATCATTTATGTTAGACCAAGGGTAAAAGAAGTATATAATATAAAACAACCTAGTTTATTAACAGTTGCCATTGACTTCTGAAAATTTAAACCTAACCCTATTTCCGTACGATTTGAAATCTTCAAAATTCAGGGCAGTTTTAATTCTGAGCAATTTTAATTCTATCAGGGAACAGGACAACCAGAAATATTTAAGAAATAGCCACAGAGAATCCAGTAGCCCATGCAAGCAGGAAAGTACTTATCTAGCTGATACTGTAAACAAAACAAAAAGGTGGATAGTATCACAGTATAACCATGGAGGAGGATCTTGCTGGGAAACTCCAGTTCTCACTACGTGATAGTCTGTGGTACTAGAGACAACTGTAGGTGAGATCTTGAGAATAAGTCCTGCTGATTGCACTTCTGCCTTCACGGGAATTTAGAAACATGCAGGTTCTCTTGGAATTTCTTGGCTACTGTATTATCTAAAAATCTTTCTTGATTCCACTTTGTCCCCATTTTCCCGTTTAAATCCCTCCCAAGACCACTTAACATTATTTTCAACTTTCTTGTTACGTTGTACAGAATTACAAATTTAAAATGTGAAGTTTTAGTAATCATAAATACAAAGTAATCTGGGTGGTATTTGGATCTGAAAGGCCTGAAATAAAAGGATATAATAAAATTCCTTATTTTGTTACTGTTGCAAGTGCTCCATTGAATAGATGTGTAATTTGACCAGGCATCAGCAGGGAAAGTATCCACAATCTCAATTTTTTTTTAAGTTTTGAATTTTATGAATGATTTCTTGTTTATACAAGTGATAGAAATGATAGAAATAGTATCCATACTGTTCTTTTAGAAATGTTTGTTTTTATGTATAAGCACATGTATAAGTAAGTGCAGTGTCTGTGCACACTTAGTACCTGAAAAGATCAGAAGAGAGGACATAAGATCTTCTAGAACTGGAGTTAAATTGGTTGTCAGCTGCTGTGTTGCTATTAGGAAACAAAACCTAGTTTCTTTGCAAGACATCCATCTTAACTGCTGAGCCATGTTCAGCCCTTCATACTACCTTTAATTGCTGCAAGCCATATATGAATATTAGAGTTGTTAGTAAATGCATTATTGCATCTCTTATGATCGTCCTCTCTTACCAAAGTTCCCTTGAGGTTTCAGTGGCAGACAGTATCCCAGTCTGACACCTATCATTGCTGTCAGTTCTCTGCTTTTCTTGGTGCTGTAGCCAGTAATTAGGATGTCTTTGTGTCTCATCTGGTTATTGCCTTTAGAACAGGAAATCAGAATGCTTTCTCTTCCTCTCTTAAACCTATTTTTCCTTCACATTTTAATTAGTTAACTTTCGTTGTTTGGGTGCATATGGGCTACATTGTACTCGCTGATGTCAGAAGAAAATTTGTAGGTGTTATTGTTCTCCTTTATTCATATGAATTCTGGGTATTGAACTCCGATTTCCAGGCTTGGTGACAAACCTTAAGCCATTTGCAGCTTCATCTTTCTTTTCAGAGTAAATTTTTATGATAGTATTGGAATATGTACAGTGTTTATATTTCTGCACTCAGGAAAAAAATTCAGTTACTTCTGTATCATGTAGAAGGAAGTGAGTTAAATAAGTGAGTAAAATAACTTCCAATTTATTGTGCACCACTGTCAGTTTTATCTAACTTTGTAAAGTAGCTTTAAGTGCTGATTTTGTTGCTAGCTGTCCTAAGTTTCAAAGTGTTGTGTGGTTGTTTAGTTGAATATTTGTACAGCAGAAAAGATCATTGCATTTTTGTATTCTGCATATTTGCCTCTTTTTTTTTTTCCTGAAAAAAAAATGTTTTATTTGACAGGAAACCTGATCGTGAAAGAGCTGAGGATTTTGATCACGTGAGTCGTGAATCTTACTATTTTGGCCTCTCCCCAGAAGAACGCAGAGAAAAACAAGCTATTGAAGAGTCTCGTTTATTGTATGAGATTCAGAACCGGGATGAACAGGCTTTTCCTGCCCTATCTGTACGTATGTAGAAATTTTAAAGGTTAACTTTAAGAAGTCTTTCCTGATACACAGTTTGTAGTATCAAAATGATGATGAACTTAATTTTTTTTAACTGAAAGTATTTTAAAGGTTATGGGAGCCTTGGTATGGTGGTTATGTGCTTATAATCCCGGCTAATTGAGAAGCAAGAATCCCTGAATTCAAGGCCATCTTGGTGAAATTCTGTGTCAAGATAAAAAGACAGGAGGGACGGGCAGTACAAGTAAAGCCTTTATGTAGTTAACCCCGGGACTAAAGATACTGTTGAAAAAGTAGGCGATTCACCTGTTCACCTGACAGTGAGAAGTATTTCCTTTCAGACCAAGGATGTAGTATTTGCAAGCAGAGCCTGCAGGAGAAGGCTTAGAATGCAGTTGACCTCTCTTACAAGGTTTTCTGAATAGTCAAGATAAACTTCATTGACATGTGCATTAGTACCATATTAGTGTAAGCAAGAAGCACATGGATTTGTTTTGTTCCGTTTGTCAGTCTGTGGGCTGAGCTAGATACTTCTGATGAAAGCGATGACTCTGCCTTCAGTTTCCTTAGCTTTGGGGCCATCAGAAAGGAAAGCCATTGCCATATAGAGTTGCTGGGCCCTAACGTCTTACTTAGAGTAGGGGAGTGAGAAGGCAGTGTCAACATCTTAGACAAAGTCAGGTAGAAGGCATATAGCAGACTCGTTTATTTAACAATGGGAGAATCTTACATACCCTCCCAGCACCCAGGTGCTCCAATCCTTTGACACTGCATGGTCACCCCTCATTGTCTAGACGTGATCAGCACCAGACAGACTACAGGTTGGCTCTTCTCAGCCTAGTAAGCCTTAATTTCCTACAGTGTAGGTGAGGGTTTCGTTGACATTATATATAGGAGGGCTTAATTGATTATCATAGGAACTGTGCTTGTGGTCTGTAAGTCTTGGTAAATGATATCAAATGGTAATAGTGAATGGAACAAACAAGGAAGAATGCTGTTGAAGGCTCCACTGTTCAGGGACAAGAACCAAGCTGCACAAGTTCAGTCTTCTGTCTTCAGTGAGGAAGAAGCTCCGTTTAAAAGAGCTTATCTGGACCAGTTCAGTCTGGAGCTTAGGGAGGGTTGCAAAACGTACCAAGTCAGAGGGGCCTGCGTGATAGATGCTCTCTGTGTACTAAAGACATTCCTTTTATGTCTTATTTGTTGTTTTTACATAGCTATTCTGTAAGGCTAATTTTAATTACTTAATCTTATACTCAAAGTTTTGTCCTTCGTGAATGAGAAAAAAGTGCTCTTGTTATGTGGTCATAGATTATAAAATTTCATTGTTAAATTTTTATTTTCAACCTTCTATACTTTACATTTAGATTGGTGTGGTGTTGGATTTAATAGTGGATTAGGTTTGTTTACTGGAATAGAACACTAAGCCTCCTTCCTGCTGTGTGATTAGGAGTGTTATGACAGGGATCTAGCACTTTCAATGATAAATTATCTTTAAAATTCAACTTTAGCTGGGCAGTTATGGCCAGCACTTGGGAGGTAGAGGCAGGCATATCTCTGTGAGTTCGAGGCCAGCCTGGTCTGCAAAGTGAGTTCTAGGACAGCTAGGGCTACTCAGAGAAACCCTGTTTTGTAAAAATGGGGTTAAAAAAAAAAACAAACCCCAAACCAACAAATTAACTCTTTTCTCTTTGTTTTACCAATGATATGGTTGGGCCATTCAGGCCTCAGAGGATTTGCTCTTTATCACTTCAGTGATACTTGCTAATTGATTGTTATATTTCCCTTCCCAAGGGACCCTAGGAAGGTTGGTAGAGAAGTTATTTTTGTGCAAAGAATATTAAGTGCAAGAGGACAATTTAGTCAGTGTGATTTCTTAAAATGATACATGAATTATTAATTTAGTCTGATAAATCTGATTAGTTGATACTTTAGTTCAGTAAAAGACTTAGTTTAGAGCATATATTTGAATATGGATGCTAGATGATATCCATAACTACCTATCAACTAGATTCTAAAGTATTAAGAATATATGGCTATGAATTTTGAGATTTTTGGTTAGAAGTATAAATGTTATTTGTAGAACTTGTATTCATGTTTGTAATGCAAAGTGTGACTTTATTTTAAAGAGCCCATCAGTCAGTCAGTCCCCTCAGAATAGCAACTCATGTGTCCAGAGGAAGTCTTCACATGCAAGGGATAGAAAAGGAAGCATGCGGAGAACAGATGCAGAAGAACGGAAGGACAAAGGTATACTACTTCATTACTGAAGACACTTTTGCCAAGTTTCATACAGTAATTCCTGCCTTATTTGTGGTTTTGTTTATTTTGCAGTTTTAGGTATATAAGTAAACTGTGGTCTGGAAATCCTAAATGAACGAAGGATTCCAGAAATTTATAAGAGTCAAATTGAGTGCTGTATCTTTTGATACACTGGTTCTTCCTGTTCACATGTAAAGGGCTAGTGTTACCATACTGTGTATGCTGCTGGCACATACATTTCTTTGTAGCTGTCATGAATATCACTTTGACTGGGTGTAGCAGTGCTTGTGTTCCAGCAATGCTTCCGTCATGCATAGTAGTGATGTTATCATTTTGAGTATGCCAAAAAAAGTCAGAATACTTTAAATGAAGAGGGCTTTGCAAGAGGTTATACTCACATAACTTGTTACAGAATAGTTGTTTGTAGTTTTGTTTTACTTCGATATTAGTTTTGGCTGTCTTTATAAATACAGGAAAAAAATCATAGTATAAGAAACTGTGTTGCCTTTCACAGTTTCAGACGTCAGCTGGAGGATTATCTACTGTGCATAAGAATGATCACTACTGGGAAAAGACTAAAATTGTCAAGCTATATCTGACATCAGAATCATCGATTTGACCTAAGACAGTGTTTGTTTTTCTCTATTTAAATCTGAATGATGGTTGATGCTCCTTAATTTTCTTATTCTTAATCTGTTACAGATTCCCTACGTGGCCATACTTATGTGGATAAAAAAACCGAGTCAAGCACACTGGAGGTAAGGTTTTTAAATATTTTTAAAACATTTATCTATTTAATGTGCGTGCATGCGTGTCTGTACACCATGCTGTATGTGTGGAGAGCAGAGGGCAATTTGCAGGAGTCACTTACTTCCTGCTATGTTAGCCTTTGTTAGTTCTAGGGATTGAGCTCAAGGCTCCAGGCTTGGTGACACTTACTTTAGCTGCTGAGCCATCCCCACCAAAAATTTTTCTTCTTCTTTTATTTTTATTTTTATTTATTTTTTAGCTGCCCTGGAACTTGCTTTGTAGACCAGGCTATCCTTGAACTCAGAGATCTGCCTGCCTCCGCCTCTGGATGCTGGGAGTGCACCACCATACCTGGCTGGCCTTAAAAGTTTTAATGTTAGTCTATCTTAACTTGCAAAACAGTGTTTATTATTATTGTTGTTGTTTTTCATGACAGGATTTCTCTGTGTGGCCCCAGTCTGTCCTGGAACTCCCTGTGTAGATTAGACTGGCCTTGAACTCACAGGTGTCCTCTTGCCCTTTCCTCCCAAGTGCTGGGATTAAACACATGCACCACCACACTCAGCCTGTGTTTATTCTCTATATAGTGATGTTGTAAAGGAGTCACTTATGTTCTTTGAAGTCCCATATAAAAACTCTCCAGTAATGTGACATTAAACCAATGTGCAGACAAAATTAAGTGGGAGTGGGTTCCCAGATCAGGTTCTCCGATCAAATTTAAATTTGAAAGGCAACCAGTTACCCAGAATGGAGTTTTTTTTAATTACAGTGTAACTTTTTCTTACTCCCAAAGGTCAGTGATGATAAATGTACAAGAGTTTCATCACCATCTAAGACAAAGAAAGTAGACTGCCCATCTCCTGTAGAACAAGTAAGTTACTGTGTAGATATAAGTTTCTGTCCTACCTCGTCCCCCAGCCCTTCAGTCCCAAAGAAGCACACAGAGGATTATAATAATTATAAACTGCTTGGCCTATTAGCTCAGGCTTATTATTAACTAGCTCTTACAACTTAACCCATAATTCTTGTCTGTGTTTAGCCATAGTGGCTTGGTACCTTTTCTCATTGAGACATTCTTATCTCGCCTCCTCTCCATTTCACTGGTGACTGACTCTCTTTTTCCCAGAATTCTCTTAGTTTTGTTGTCCCATCCATATTTCCTGCCTGACACTGGCCAATCAGCATTTTATTAAACCAATACAAGTGACAATCTTTACAGAGTACAAAAGCATTATCCCACAGCATTACTGCACTAGGCAAGCAGAGCTCCTTTCTTTCTGGACTTCTTTTCTCTGTATGTGAAAACATCTACATTGTAAATGGAAGGATTCATTTCTGACAAATATAGGTGCTTAAATTTTTTTTGGTCATTCTGTTTAGTCTAAAATGTTATAAAAGTTTATGGAATTACATTCTATAGCCAATCTCTGCAATTGATTTTGTGTCTTGATTTGAGTTTTGTGTTTGGCACCTCTTGTTAATTTTGAGCTAGTTCAGCTTGAAAATTAAGAAGATAAAATTTCTATTGTTAATATTTCTAGAAGTTATCTACATCATTATCAATGAATTACTCCATATACATTTAAAAAATACCAGTAGTTTGCCAAGCAAATAAACACACTTCAGTTTCTGCATACATTTTGGTTCTTGGTCTTATGTAAGAGTAGATACTTACTGTTGTATCAACATACTTTGTGTTCATAAAATGAATGTACTTAAGTATATTTTTAAAAATTTTTATGTAAGAATCTTTCTTTAAAAGGAACCTTACGACTTTAAAGGGAATTTCTATGATTTTGTTCACTTGCCTTAAAAGCTTTTGTTGTTTCTTCCTGTGACTTGCACTAGGAATCTGTTAACATGAAATGAGTTCACATGATATTTGTCAGCTGGTGAACTCTGATACTGACCTGAACAGTTAAATGCTTAATGTTATAGTAGGGTGTTTTATACTTCACTCAAGATAAATTTGTTACTACAATTTGTGTCAGAGAAAAATGATTTTTTTTTCCTTTTTTTCCCTCCCATTCTTGAAGAAGCCAGCAGAACATATATCTTTGTCAAATCCAGCTCCCCTTTTAGTCTCTCCAGAAGTCCATCTCACTCCTGCGGTGCCTTCTTTACCAGCCACTGTGCCAGCCTGGCCAAGTGAACCTACAACTTTCGGACCAACAGGTTAGAGGAGAATTTTTTAAAAATTTCCAGCCAGCTAAAAAACTTCCTCTCAAATGAGAGGCTTCAAGTTGTTAAGTGAGAACTTGACTACAGCAGAAGTGTGAATGTGGGTCCTGTTAGGGCTCCTGACGTGATTTTAGAGGACCAACCGCACTGCGTGATGGGTGGTCGTTAGGATATGCTTTTTATAATCTTGGGTTTGTGATATCTGAGCCAGTTCCTCTGTTGTTGGCCACAGTCTGTGTTTGCTGTGTAGGCCATACTGTTACATCTCCTTTAGGACTCTTTACACAGACCTTTACCTTAAATGGAGTTTTGGGGAACTGTAGTTGGAAGACACTGGCTCAACATAGTTCCTGGATTGGTCCTAACGTACTGTGGGTTGTTCACTGCATGCTTTACAGGGTGCACAAGTTGTGTAGTATGAAATTAATGCAAGCTTTATTCCAAAGGAAAGTGGGTTTATTTTGTTCTCATCTTTCTTAGGTGTCCCTGCTCAGATTCCCATTTTGTCAGTGACACAGACAACTGGACCCGATGCTGCTGTGTCACAAGCGCATTTAACACCTTCTCCAGTTCCTGTGTCAATTCAGGCAGTTAACCAGCCCTTGATGCCTTTGCCTCAGACGATGAGCCTTTATCAAGACCCACTCTATCCTGGGTTTCCTTGTAGTGAGAAGGGAGACCGAGCCATTGCACCACCTTACTCACTGTGTCAGACCGGCGAGGACCTGCCTAAAGGTGAGGCCTCCACTTTCATCATGCGTTCCTGAGCACAAACAGATTTAGTGAGGAATGGAAAGATAGAAGTAGAAGTCAGAGCTCTGGTTTTTACCAAGCCATAGAAGGGATTCACTCAGCAAAGAGCAGAGATTTGGCTATTAAATCAGGACCATGTGATTGTTCAGGCCTATTCTAGTTAGCTTGGTCTTAATAGAAAATGAGTTTTTGTGCTTAATGAAGCCTGTCCTGTACCTTTTTTCTTTTCTTTTTCCGTTCCAGAAACAATTCTACAGCTTTGAAATCATTTCTGGGCTTTAATTTCTTTTGTAGGTCGTGTGTCACTGTACAGCCCAGGCTGCCTGGGGCTTGTTTTCTGCCCTTTCTCTCCTGGGCTCTGGGTAATAAGTATGCACTAATAATAGCTGGCTTGCTTTATAGAAGTCTTACTATTTTTCCAGTGTTTTCATAATTTTTTGAAACCACCTATAGTATATGAAAAATACAGTGTTCATCTGAGTTTTCTCCCAGATTGAATTTTAGTCAGGTAGACTAAATTTAAGCTATTTAGGGACTAAATCTTAGTGCAGAGAAAAGTGTAGTGAATCCAGAGTTACCTAGGAACAGCCTGGATTTTGGCTGTTTCCATTTTTGTGTTTTACTCTACAGGCAGTCTGGCAGGAGAGTTTGTCACTAGAGCTATAATGATTGATAATGAAGGAAAGAAAAGCTTTGACTATGTAGTTTTAGTAAAAAAAATTTTTTTATTTTCAGATAAGAACATTCTTCGATTCTTCTTCAATCTTGGTGTAAAGGTATTTATATTTTATCCTTAAAATTAATTTTCTTCTTATCACTATCAACAGTAAAATTTAAAGTATTTAATTCTTAATTGATTGATAATCTAAGGTTTACTACATGCTACCTTTTATGTTTGTCTTTGGAACGGGTTGTAGTTTTTACTTGCTTGTTCTTTTAATTCATGATGGTTTGGCCTTGAAGGGACTGCTCAAGGGCATGTCCTTGATGGGGAGTTAGTTGAAAGCTCTTAGTTTGAAGTAGTACTTTAGCCAGTTTAGGTGTGTCATCCTTTGCAAACCAGTTGGTGTCTCCGAAGCCACCATTGGGACGGTTGGAGGAAGTGATGACATATATATAGAAAGCATTGTTCTTTCTGTAAGGTGGGGACTTCTCTCACTATCACAGCAGAACTTGCCTTGGTGGTGGTGGTGGTTGGGGGGATCGCTTTCCTTAGAAAGAGACTGCAGAGCTTCACTGTCCATGTCAGTCAGCGTTTTGCTGTCTTGACTTGACTTCATTACTGTAGTTCTGTAAATATAAGCTATCAAGTGCTCCAATCCAGTAGCCAGCTTTTTTTATCCTCTGCTAATAGGTCTGATTTGTTAATTCTTGGTTATTGGATTAATTTGAGGGCTTCTAGAATTATTAGTCCTGTTGGAGAACATGTCCTGTTCTAGCATTTTCCTGGCAGGTTAGAGTTAAGATGTGAGTAGGCCAAACTAAACTCCTGGTGGCTGTCTTAATGCTTCCTATTAACCTGCATCAGGTCTGAACCCAGGGATCAGTCAGGGTCATGAAGTGACGTGATTCCAGTTCTTTTCATGTTGTGTGTCACTTTGATCATCTTGTATTGGTGCTTAGAGTATATAATCTTTATAAGCATGAGAGACTTGGCTTGAGCTAAATACTTTCAGAAAGACAGCTTTTTAACCTCTAGTATTTGTTTTTTTTACTGTTTTTGTCTTTCAGGCATATAGTTGTCCTATGTGGGCCCCACATTCTTACCTGTATCCTCTGCACCAGGCCTACATGGCAGCCTGTAGGATGTACCCAAAGGTCCCTGTTCCTGTGTATCCTCAGAATACTTGGTTCCAAGAAGCCCCTCCTGCTCAGAGTGAAAGTGACTGTCCTTGTCCTGATGCCCACTACTCTATGCATCCCGAGGCCAGTGTTAATGGACAGATGCCACAGGCAGAGATTGGTCCTCCTGCATTCTCTTCACCTCTGGTTATCCCTCCGTCTCAGGTGTCTGAAGGTCATGGACAATTGTCTTACCAACCTGAACTTGAGTCTGAGAATCCCGGGCAACTTCTTCATGCTGAATATGAAGAATCACTAAGTGGCAAGAACATGTACCCACAACCGTCCTTTGGACCTAACCCGTTCTTAGGTCCCGTTCCTATTGCACCTCCTTTCTTTCCTCATGTTTGGTATGGGTATCCATTTCAGGGATTTGTGGAAAATCCTGTCATGAGGCAGAATATTGTCTTGCCCTCTGATGAGAAAGGGGAACTGGATTTGCCCTTGGAGAATCTAGATCTGTCTAAAGAATGTGACTCTGTCCCAGCAGTGGGTGAGTTTCCGGAACCCAGAGTTGAAGCAAGTGTGAGCAGCAAGCATGAAGGCCGAGTGGAACAGTCATCCCAGACACGAAAGGCAGACATTGCTTTGGCTTCAGGTTCTCCTGGAACAGAGGGAAAGGCTCATCCTCCCACTCAGATTCTAAACAGAGAGAGAGAAACCATGTCTGCTGAACTTGAGCCTAAGAGGACCATTCAGAGTGTGAAAGAAAAACCAGAGAAAATGAAAGATCCCAAGGCTGCTGCTGATGTAGCTGGCCCTGGGGCCAACTCTGTGGATAGATTGCAAAGACCAAAAGAAGAGAGTTCAGAAGATGAGAATGAAGTGTCTAATATATTGAGAAGTGGCAGACCCAAGCAGTTCTATAATCAAACTTATGGAAGCAGGAAATACAAAAGTGATTGGGGTTCTTCTGGTAGAGGTGGATATCAACATGTGAGAGGTGAGGAGTCCTGGAAAGGGCAGCCTAACAGAAGCCGGGATGAAGGTTTTCAGTACCATCGAAATGTTAGAGGACGCCCATATAGGGGAGATAGGAGGAGATCAGGGGTGGGAGATGGCCACAGGGGACAGCACACTTAATGGCTAGTTGTTGCTCGTATTGTAGAGCTGAAGCCTTTTCGTAGGTGGAGTATTTCTGAAGGCTTTAAAAACATTAAAATAAAAACCCAAATTGGAACTATCTCCTCCCTTCCCCATTTACCCTTAATTCCTATTCCAGAATAGGATGAAACTTTGGACATGAGTTCAAGGGGTAGATGAATTTTTGGCATTGTGTTTTTTCTTACTCAGAATCTGTTTATTGGGTTACTGCCCCCATAAAAAGCAAACATGACTTCAAGTATTTTTTTATAAACAACTCAATTATAAAACATAGACATAGTGTTTGTTTCTTTTCCTCTGGTGTAAGTTTGATTTTAAAACATTGGAAATGTGTGCTTTTAGCGTTTACTGAAGTGACAAGAAAGTAAAGCATTCAACACACTATAGATTGCAAAACGTAACATTGCACCAAATAGAAATGTATATTTTATTATGCAATGCCTTAGTCATAAACTGGGCTCAAACAGTTCTCAGCCTCAAACACTGTTGTCTTTTAATATGCTTCCAACCCAAAGGCCTTTCATCTCAGTATCTGTCAAACTTGAATAACGTCTTCTCTCTACTATTACACACGAGGCAGCCTATTAACCTGTGTCTCAGAATTGTTGTATATAGTTCTTTTAATATCCATAGGGTATATTTTTGAATTTTGGTGAGTATTTGTTGACCTTGAGATTGCATACAATAGATGTTTAAGAAATAGTAGGAAGTCCGGTGAGACGCTGTTTCCATCCAGAACTTAGCACTGCTGTAAATATCATGGTGCCTACCCGAAAGGAATGTAGATGCTATGCATTTTGAGAATAATCTGCATCTGTTAAAACTGCAGAGGTTTTTAATGCCACTTTAACACTAATGCACTGACAGATTCTAAATATTTTGTGAGAAATGTTGAAATTTTTAACTTGATAGGCTTCTCTATAGAGTGTTTTCCTCCCTGCTCATTGGTTATTTTTATCACTTTACAGTTGCATGTTCAACTTGTCATAGCTGGAATTACTGTATAAAAAGAACGTGATTGTGACTTCTAGTTTTTCTAGAGGATGCTGCTAGAGGTGGCTTAGCTTTGCTTTTCGTAGCTCTTCCCCATCAGTGCTGTGTCTGATCTGCTTTTTTGGTCTGCAGTATTCACTAGAGGCTCCTTTGCATGTTGTGTTCTGTTTTCATTTAGAGATTGGACTCAGACAAGTTAACACAGTATTCACTCATCTGTGTTACTTTGTGAAACTAACTGTACTTTGTATTTCTTATTCGTATATATCAATGTGAAAATCTACCTTTTTTTTTTTAAATGTTGCAATTACCTTGTGATCAGGCAGCTTGAATGCTATGCAATTAGTAGTATGGTGGTGATTTTCTTTGCATGTTCTGTGTAATATACCTAACCAGAAATAGATGTGGCTTTTGTTTTGGGGGGCAGATTACTTAAAAGCGAATACAGTTAACTTGAATATGACAAATGGAAGCAGACAGTTTTCTGGGTCCTCTGATGCTTGTGGGAATGTTTGGCTGTCAGCTAGGCTCAGTGAAGCTCCACTGTACTGTTTACCTCTGTGTTGTTCCAAATACCCTCATGTCTGTGTAACTGCTGATTTGAGTAGTGATTAGCATTTAGAAATTTTGTAACATAGGACTTTAGAGAGCACTTTGAAAGATAACATTTTATTAATGATGGTGCTAGGTAAAAATTTTATAGCCTGGGATGTGCTGAAAAAAATTGAGAACCTATTTTAAAGGAATTTGTTGTCTTCTAAGCTAGAATGGTTGTGAAGGTTCTGTGTTGTGGTGCTTCAGTATCTGGCTGGACTATGGTAAGGACTGTAGAGGAGCTTCTTAGTCCGTGCTTTTATGTAGAATTGGCTTTATTGCGTAGTTTCAAGATGAAAATCACCTTTTGATATAATAAAGTAGATTTAGAAGTTTGATACATGCTTGGTCTCAGGAGTCCAAAAGAAGTAGCTGTTTCCAATGTCCTGTGTTTTTCTGACTGGGCAAATGGTTAAAAATTGGACAGGAAAGAGTAATGCTTGGTTTCTTACAGTGGCTCTGTCTCACCTTAGTGAAGAACAGTGGTTAGTAGCTCCTGAGGGAAGTTGATGAGCTTGTTTCCTTACCTGACCTCTGGGATGTGACGAATGAACAGTGAAAGAACTCTAGCCTGTGGTACTTTCTTTGTGACCTCTGACTTCAGTAGTTTTAAAATGATCAATCTTGTATGAAGGTCAGTTTTCTTTCTTTAGGTATGTGTTTAGGTGTAATTCATCCAGGGGATTTTGCCTTATCCTAAGGTCAGACTAGTGCCAAGCAAGCCTTTTTTCCTCACATGAACTGACCTGTCATACTGTATTTTGGAACATACTGTATTCTACACAAGGAAAGGGGGAAATGACAACTAAAAGTTCTTTGTATTGTAATTGGGAAATGATGAAACCTTATGATGGGATCCATTGAAGAAACGCTTCCCCTGACCAAAGCTCATCTGTTTTGTTTAGGTGCTTTAGTTGTACTAGACCCCGCCTCTTCCTTCCAGTACTGTGTCTCCTCAAGTTACTTCCTCTCAAGGCACATCCTCCATTCTTCCCTGTGTACTCCTTGGCAGCCTTCATGTTGTTTCCTCTAAGTTTGTTTCATAGCTGCTACAACCTGACAGGAGTAGGTTTTCCACAATGCACAGTGCTGAGACAGTTTATGTGCTGCAAACCATTCTTTGAGCGTAGCATTTTCTTTGGCCCAAGGGTGAACTAAAATGCCTGTGAACTGCAAACTCGCTTGTGATTGACTCGGTGCAATACAGTTCATTTCTAAACATTTCTGGTTTAGAAAATACTCAGCCATCCTGAAAACTAGCAATATTTATTTTGCCTCATTTTACCTTCAATTTTAGATGAGGTGAAATTTGTCTTTCACTTAGGGTACTTGCAAGATCCATTTTAGTGTAGCTGAAGAGAAAGCTATATTTCTGTTTACTGTATTTTGCTTCCTATTTTATGTCTTATTTTTTTTTTAAATCTTTATAATGGCTCACTTGAGTATGTCAGTTTGAAAGAGCTAAGACTTTCCTACTTAGCCATTGGCTTTCCCACTAATTGAGTTTTTTTTTTTCTTTTAAAGTTTCCACTTTCCCTAAAATTACAAGTTTTAGAAAAATCCTGTAAGAGGGTGGGTGCATGTCTTAATGCTGAGAAGCAGCAGCTTTGGGGTCGAATTTACTTGAATGGTTTAAAAATTGCATTGTTACAAAGTTAGAAAAAAATTTATGTATGGAAAAATGATCCTAGCCTTACACTGAGTACAATAATACTTATAAGCATGTGAAGATGTGATCATTTGTGATGTTACTTGTAAAAACATATATACATATCTATACATATCTTTTGAAGTGTTGAAAGGAATAGTACTTTATATTCTTTATCATACCACTTTTGTAAGTGTTGAATATATTGCTGTTTATTTTTCTATGTTCTGTTTCGTAGCCTTAAGAAGTGTTTCAAACGATCTGAATGTATAAACCAAGTCAATGCCCTACATGGTGTGATGCTGCATTATATATACAACCGTGTGCATATATTAAATTCTGTCTGTCGATTCTGCTTGGGATTCTTTGGTCTTTGGGTAACCCAATATATCACATGTAATTCTGAGGATAAGTCTTAGTAAACTCTTGAAAATTACATTATTTCCATGTATTTTTCATGCTGGAACATAGTTACAGTAGGGACAGGTGCTATTTTTCTTACTTTATGCATCGTAGAGCTTTGGCCCTGTCATGGAGCTAGTAAGTGGTGGAGTTGTACTTCCAGGGTAACTGGTGTTACAGCTAGAGTTCCACCATCTCTTTAGCGCACTGAAGCAGGGTGCAGAACACCTCGACATTCATAGGCTAATGGACCTCTTTATTTTTCTGTCCATCCCTCCTAGCCCATCCCCCCCCCCCCAGTTCAGTCTTTTTTGAAAGACTGAACAAATTGGAAACAAATAAGGTTTTCAGGTATACTGAAATACTTTGAAACCTATTTACTTTCTTGCAGTCTTGGGAATTGAGATACAAGCCAAGTATATTTCAGGCATGTGTTCAACCTCTGAATTCTGTTACTGGTCCTGAAAGAGATGATTTTCTTAAGTGCATGTTCTCCATTAAGTAGTTTACTAAAAATATTGCCATGTTCTTGCTGAAATTATGAACTTCCTCAGGAAAGTGGTTTTCTCAGAAGCAGAGCTCAAAACTGCTCATTCAGTGCAGATACTTGATGGAAACTGCTCTAGGGTCAGTCAGGAGCTATAGGAGTCTTTTTTTTTTTTTTTTTTTTTAAGATTATATGTTGAACTTGTGCGTATGAGTACAGGTGCCCTTTGACGCAAGTGGTATGGATTCCCTGGAGCTGCAGGCATTTATAGCAGCCCGACTTGGGCACTGGGAAGAGCCCTGTGAGGTGGGATCCAGTGCAGGAATTGAAGGTCTGCTGGGCACTGCACCTGACCCAGTATGCCCTGTGGGGTGTCTTGTGTGCACTTTCCATTTAAAGTTTTTTAGTACAATATGTTTTGGTCATATTTTTCTACTCTCCCAGTTTCAGCCAGATCCTCCCCACCTCCTTGCTCACCCAAATTCTTGTTTTTCCCTCAGAAATGAACAAAAAGCAAAAATAGAGAACTCTAATACAAAATGTACCTGCCCAGGTGGGCGGTGCTAGTGCCTGACTTGAGTCCCAACACTTGGAAGGCAGAGGCAGGCAGATCTCTTCAGTTTGAGGCCAGCCTGGTTGACATAGTGACTGTCAGGACAGCCTCCAATCTACAGAGAGAAACCCTGTCTTGGAAACCCCAAAATAACCTAATAAAAATTGCACCTGCTCTAAGGGAGTGCCTTTTGTTTTGGCTGACTGCTGGGCATGGGGTCTGCCCTGGAGTGTGGTGGAGATACACAGTGACATCATGGGAGAAAACTGATTTTCCCTTTCTCAGCAGCTTTCAGTTGCAAATAGCTTCCTGGTTGGGTGGGACTTGGTGTCCACCTCCCTTTTCAGGGATGGGACTTTGTTTTGAACCCAGTGCCTGCTGTCCTATCTCTGAGTTGGTATGTATATCAGTCCTTTTTTTTCAAAGACAGGTTTTCTCTGTATCCTTTGCTGCCCTAGAACTCTCCAGGTTGACCACTGCCTTTCAAGTGCTCAGATTAAAGGTGTGTACCACCACCACAACCCTTTATATACAGGCTTTCCTACTGCTATATAATAATAATGTTTAATAATCTGAATTTATATTTTCAAATTTCACTTGCATGAAAAATAGTCTTATTAATATACCTTGTCATTAGCAACTAAAATGGATTAACTGTTTTCTTTAGGACAATTTTAAATCAGTAAATGCTTTGTTTCTCTGCATTCCATGTGTCTGCAGTATTAAAAAATTAACCTATCCTTAAACAAAATACTAAACTATAATCCTATGCCAACATTAAATGCATAATGAATGTGAAAGAATGAACACAATCTCAGAGTAATGAAGGGAGAAAATTTTTATTCCATATATTTCTGTATATTTGCATTGCTTTACAACAGATATGTATTTATGGATTATTCATATAAATTCATTTTAGAATGCCTAATGGGGTCCAGTCAAAAACAACTTTCTATCATTAATCAAGTTAATCAAGATTATTAAAATTCTAATAACCTAGTAATAGTTTTGCCAAATCTATTTTTCCTGTTCTGCTGGCCCCATTATTCACTGTAATCTACCTTCCTCATAATTCTAGTTCAGCATATTAGTAAGGTTTGGATAATGTCCTTTGTATCCACACCTACAAATGAATATGTTCTGCAGCAGTGGAAACTTTGTATTGCTATTTCTGGCACTCATTGGAGAAGTGGTTTAAGGTTGCCCTTGGTTGCTCAACAGAAAAATCTGTAGTCTATAAAAACAGAAGGTTGGGGAGGTGGCTCAGTTGGTAAAGTGCTTCCCTAGCCTGAGGAGCCCTGCTTTGATTCTCAGCACTGCATAATTCAAGCCTGGGTAATGGGCTCAGTTCAAGGTTGTCCTGGGCTACAGGATACTTGTCTCAAAACAAAACTAAAAACCCTAACATCCAGATACTTAAGTCACAAATTGTAAAGACTTTATATCTGTAGGGGTAGGGATGTGTGTGTATGTATGTATATACATACATACAAATCTCTGTGCTCTCCACTTAACTAACTTGTTGAGACAGGATCTTTCCCAGAACACAGCACTCACAGATTCTGTTAGGCTGGCCAGCCCTGCTCTAGGATCTGTCTGACTTCCCTTCCCAGGACCAGTATTAGAATCCTACTGTCTAATATCTGGTCCTCATGAGTGAGAAGTTGGCACTTTACTGACTGATCCATCTCCCCAGCCTAAGTAGTTTTATAGGAAGCAAATACTCAGAAATACCTCCTCCCATCTTGATTATATAAATTTATGTTTACAAAGTAAATCTTATAGAATGTAAAAACCCAAAAACCTAGTTAAATTAGGGTACCGAAATAATTTTTGACAGATGTTCAAAAATACCCCCCCCAAAATTTTAAAAACAATGCAAAAGTTGGTCACGAACATCCACCTTCTAACAATGGTGTTTGTAGCAGACAATGTTCCTTGAAAGCAGCTACACACTGACAATATAGTTAGTCACAGACTGAAAACAAGTAGCAAATATAATCCTGGTGTTTATTTATCAGACCTTAGCAGTGTAGTCTTTGACTGGCTGTTAAATAGGGCAATTTCATTATGCTGGTACACTTAGCAAACAGGTAATACAGATTTTAAAATATGGACAACACCAGTAGGTAAGCATATGGTACATGAATATAATAAAGAGCTTGAAAATCTCCACAGATCATGGAGATCCAGAGGTGATTTGCATATTTGAAATATCTCCATTTTAGTGAAGTATGCCCAGAGTTTTACCTTAAGGACAGAAAAGCTCTTAAATAACAATTTACAATACAACTGGCTTTTGATGTCACATTAAGAAAACCATACTTCAAACTCCAGAGTATGTGGGGCCATAAAACCTGATTAAAGTTTTATATGATAAAAATCCCAGTAAGTAAATGGCTTATTGATAATCTCAGATTCAATTTAATCATCCAAGAAAAAGTAGTTTCCACTCTTCTTTTGTTCTACATCCTAAAAAAAGAGAAGTAACAAAAGTCAGAACAGTTTTTCTCCTGGAAGCTACAGCAGTCTATGCAGTGTTACTCAGAAGTGCTTCTCAGAGCATCGAACAGCAGCTCAAGGAAGGCCGCTGCTAAAATGTTCACATGTATGAAATCTGTCATATATTCAAATATTCTTGGAGAAGCTTAAATTCCACTTTTAAGCTCCTGGTACAAAAGACAGAATACTGCCAGCTTGCAAATCACTTATTATATCAAATATATTTAAAACAATTTCCTCAGAACTGTTTATAGGATGGTGGTCATTAATCCATTTATCTACTTGACCAGCTATTAGAAATACGCTCTATGAACACCTTAAACGACTCAGTATACAGTCATGGCTTAATTAGCAAAGGAGAATGTTTATTCATTTTAACTATGTCTTAAAAAAAAAAACCATAAACTGCTTAAAAGTATTCTTAAAAACTTCATTAATAAAACTCCATTAATCTA